CCTCCAGTATATAAAGGCACTACAGTGGTTGAGCAGTTCCTTCTCTCCCATCAGGAGAATAAGGGCTCCACCTGACCCCAGTTTTTGCTTCTTCATTTTCTTATCCTCTGGCGGCCAGCCCAAGAATGTCAAGAGCTGCATGGGTTGTAGCAAGGAATATTTAGAATGTATCAAGAACTCAAAACCTTAAGGCTCCAAAACATAAAAAAATCAAATTAAAGATAGGCAATGGAACAGATACTTCTTAGAAAAAAAAATACATGTGGTCAAAAAGTACATAAAAAATGTTTACCATTTTTGGCCATTAGATAAATGTAAATTAACATGTTTTTTTTGGAACAGGCTCTCAGTATGTAGTTAAGACTGGCCTTGAACTCACTGCGATCCTCCTGCCTCAGCCTCCAAGTGCTAAGACTATAGGTATGTGCCACCATGCCTGGCCAGGGAAATAACATTAAGGCCTGGCACCTACAGTGCTACTTGGCCCAAAGGCCTGGGCGCCCTTGAGCTGTCATTTTGTGCCAGATCAACTGTGCCTGGCTCCTTCCCCACCAAGTCTCTTCTGGCTGTGGGGGAGGATGGAAAAGTCCAAACCAGAAGTCTAGGGGGCTGCTGCAGGCTCTTCCTGTCCACTTGCCATTCCCATCTGAGATGGACAAGGGCTCAGGTCCAGCACACCCATCGGCACTGATTGCAGCAGAGTGGCAGCGTTCAGGAGGCTACGATGGCTGCTGCGGCTGGAGACGAGAGCTCCCAGCCAGTCTGGGATTTAGGAGGGCAGGCAGTGAGTGCTGCTGTGGGAGCATCGCAGAAGGGCTGGCCAGGCAGAACCCATTCCTCACTTATGCCATGTCTCCCATGCCTGGGATCTGGGAATACCGACTGCCTAAAAGGACTGCTGGCTTGCTGTGCATGGTGGCACATGCTTGCAATTCTAGCACTCAGGAGGCTGAGGCAGGAGAATTGTCACGAGTTTGAGGCCACCCTGGGCTACATAGTTTAAAGCTAGCCTAAATATATGGTGAGACTGTCTCACAAAACAAAAAACTAAAAAATAAGGGCCAGGGATTTAGCTCAGTGACACACACACTTGCCTGGTAATCGCAAGGTTGAGAGTTGGATCTCTGGTATCAAAACAAAACACAGTTTGCTAAGGCTTGGGTCATACTCCTATCAGTGTGATATTATTAGTGTTAGTTAACTGGCCTCAAACTTGTGGAGATCTGTTGGGCGCAGGCGCTCAACATACCATACCCCACCCAGGACTAAGGACCACGCCAGCTTCCGCAATGCGCTACTCCCTCTTTAAATTAGCCAACCCGTGCGCACTTCGTGCTCACTCCATACTCTGTGGCAACTCCTGATTGGCCACAGCTGGATATGGTAGCCGGAGCCTGCATCCCATTCCCGCCCTGCTTCCTTGTGGCAGCCTGTGATTGGTCATGGCCAAATATATAAACCAGAGCCCGCGTAAATAAACTAGCAGTTAACTGTCGTCCACAAAAGCGTCTCCTGTTTCATTGGAGCTGCGCCGGTCAACTGGTGGCCCGTACGGGGAGCCCGGAGCGCTGAGACCCTCTCTCCGACAGTACGAGGAGAGCTGAGACCCTCTCTCCGATGGAACAGAGACGTTAACAGGTAAAACCGTCAAGCGCCGATAGCGGGGGCTACTCGGCGGGCGGGGGCTGACAGGTTAAACTGCTCAACGTTGGTAGCGGGGGCTACGCAACAGGCAGCGGGGGCTGCAGGGCCGGATAGCGGGGGCTATTGGGCAACCTTGGGCGGACGTGTCGCAAGGGTTGAGGAACTCGTAAAGAGAGTTCCCGGTGCCGTAAAGAGGCAGGTTTTGGGGGCGCCGTAAAGGGGCGCGGGGACTAAGCTGTCCCTGTTACAAAAAAAAAAAAGGAAAAAGGAAATAAGAAACAAAAAAAAAAAATAAAAAATAAAAAGAAACTCTTGAAATTCCGGTTAACATGGGTAACACCGCTACTCAGCCACTGTCAGTCGCCTTAAGCGACTTACTGAGAGAAAAGGGATTACAAATGAAACGAGAACAAATTCAAAACTTCCTCGATCAGGTCGATAAGGTAGCACCTTGGTTTGGTCCCACGGGGTCCATTACCATCCCCAGCTGGGATAAATTAGGGAGAGATCTTGACTTTGCAGCAGAAAATGGCCTCCTGGAGCCAGGAGTCAGACCCCTTTGGGCAGTGGTGAGAAGCTGCCTTGCAGACCCCTCTTGTCGTGACCATATAAGGGCTGGCGCCATGGCGCTTGATTACCATCAGGCAGAATCCTCCCGCGAGCAATCTCGTGAGCCCAGTGCCGCAGGCGAGGTGACCCCACCCAACCCAGAAACAAAGGACTCGTCAGATAATGAGGGGGAGGAAGAAGAAGTATACAAAATGGTGGATGCAGACACCACCAAAAGAGGGGAAGTCACACACACGCAGTCAAGAGGGCCTTACTCTGAGGCCATAAATGAGCTGCAACACATGATTTCTCAGAGTAAATGGGTCAATGAAAGTGAGTACGGGATCCCAGGGCCACCCCGTATAAGACCTACGGCTCTACCTCCCGACCCGCCAGATTATCATGCTCACCGGAGACCCTGCCATCAGCTATGTAGCTGTCCGCAATGGGTCCAGACGTCCCCTGGGACATTCCAGGAAGACCTCTGGCATCAAGTCAAAAGAGAGGACCCAGGAGGCCTGGGCCGTTTTCTCCAGGCTTTTCCGGTTGCTGTAGATGCTCAGGGAAACAGAGCCCACCTGCCTATAGATATGAAGGCGATAAAGCATCTTAAGGAGGCCAGCACCATGTACGGTGTTAATGGGGCGTATACCCTGTCCCTAGTAGAAGCCCTGGCAGGAAATGCCATGACACCTGCTGATTGGGCCAGTTTGTGCAAGGCAGTGCTCAGCCCAGGCCAATATCTTAATTGGAAAGCTTGGAATGTTGAACTTGCCACAGAACAGGCCCAAGCTAATGCCCGGAACAATCAGGCCACCTGGAACACGGATATGTTATTAGGACAAGGGCAGTATCTCAATAACCAGCTGATATTTCCACAAGAGGTATATGCACAGATAAATAGAATAGCCATACAAGCATGGAAACGGGTCTCGGCTAGGGGAGAAGTCTCAGGCCACTTGACAAAAATTTTGCAGGGCCCGAGCGAGCCTTTTTCAGATTTTGTGGCCCGCATGATGGAGGCAGCAGGGAGAATTTTTGGGGACGCGGAGACAGCCATGCCACTCATTAAGCAGCTCACAGCTGCTCTGGGTCAGCACCAGGTATAGTTTGTTAACTTGGCAGGAGTCGGGGCTTGCCGTTGTTGACGGCCCTACCACGAGACAAAGCAGAAGCCGCATCCAAACTTATTCAAGAGCAATTAAAGTTAGGCCATATCAAACCCTCAAGTCTATTCTGTTTAAACAAAAGGAGGGTATTGCCCAGGGCATGACACCTAGGGCCAGACTAAATCTCGCCCTCTTCACTTACAATTTTGTAAACATCAACCCACAAGGATCCACGCCAGCACAGCTACATGCCAACCCTGTCGCACCCAAACATGGTTGGGTACGCTGGAAAGACCTCCTGCATGGGGTGTGGAGAGGCCCCAGCCCAGTACTTAGTTGGGCGAGAGGGGCGGTCTGTATCTTCCCGCAGGAAGAAGGCAGCGAACCTGTCTGGGTCCCGGAAAGCCTGATACGTCCCTGCAAACCACCAGACCCCGACCCAGAGGAAACGTCAACCACAGAACAGGGGAACCAACAGGAGCCTCACAAGCCAGACCAAGCAAGTATACCCACAACTCCCATTAACTATGGCACCTTGGCCAACTCCCCTGGTTAGTAGCCTCCTTTTCCCCTCCTTCTTGCATCGCGTACGGTCCTTGCAGCCAATGACTTTTCTAAATTGCTCCACCGCAACCTGTTGTATGTTATAATGTTGGGATAACAGTACACTTTCAGCTGTTGTTATGCAGGTACTCCAGTTCGCACCGGTTCCAGTTATGGCGGACTCAGACGAGTTTCCTGTGATCCAGCTCGGGCCAACTCTCCAATTGGCTTTCATAAAGGAATGGGCAGGAACAGGGGCTCTGGCTACCATAACTACACTTGCCGCATTCGGCAGTCTACTTCTGCTCTGTCGGATTCGCAGACAAAGGAATAGGGACAAAGTATCAAACAAGCATTGCTGATCATGGAATCTGGTCAAAGCCCGGCAGCATGGCTCACCATGCTGTGACGCAGGTGTGGAGCAAAGCATCGCAGGGGGTGTCGTCCTTGGCCAGGAGACACCCCGGTCCCCATGTCGGTGAGCATGCGGGTTGGGCTCATAAAACAATACTCCCGCCCCCTCCAAAAGAGCACCAACGAGTAGTGAGGCACTGTCATGACTGCAGCGTGACACCTCACGAGGGGCACCGACCTCTGGAGACCCTGCGTCAGTTATAAAGAAAGGGGGAGATGTTGGGCGCAGGCGCTCAACATACCATACCCCACCCGGGACTAAGGACCACGACAGCTTCCGCAATGCGCTACGTCCCTCTTTAAATTAGCCAACCCGTGCGCACTTCGTGCTCACTCCATACTCTGTGGCAACTCCTGATTGGCCACAGCTGGATATGGTAGCCGGAGCCTGCATCCCATTCCCGCCCTGCTTCCTTGTGGCAGCCTGTGATTGGTCACGGCCAAATATATAAACCAGATCCCGCGTGAATAAACTAGCAGTTAACTGTCGTCCACAAAAGCGTCTCCTGTCTCCTGTTTCATTGGAGCTGCGCCGGTCAGAGATTCCTCTGCTTTGGCCTTCTGAGGGCTAGGATTGCAGGCATGCACCATCATGCCCAGAAAATTGTCTTCTGCCTGCCTTAGTTTCTCTTTCACTTTAGAGAAAAAAGAAATCTCTTGTAACTGCGCCAAGATTTCAGGGGTACCTTCCCTCCACTCTTATGCTCCTTTGCGACCGAGGATGGAGTCAAGAGAAAATGATTGTTTTGCTTTTTAGATACAATGACTTTATTTTGTGGTGTTGGGGCTTGAACTCAGAGCCTAGGGCATGCCAGGCAATTGCTTTTCCACTGAGCCACATCCCCCACCCAGAAAAGGTTTAAGTGCTCAGATATACTGGTCTTATTGGTCAGTTGTCACTACGGACCTAGAAAGGCACAATGTGGTTGCCTCCTGTGGCCTGAAGAGTAGGAGCAGCCTGGAAAGACGCGCTTTCAAGGGGGGTCCCCCCAGCTGCCTTCCTGGTTGGGGGCTGCCCATCAGCCCCGAGCCCCAGCAGCCCAAAAGCTGTGTTGAAGAGGTTGATGGGAGTGGAGCCGTCAGTGATCAGGGTTGATTTCAGGCCCAGGGACTGCAGCAGTTTGACCTGGAGAGCATGAGAAGGTGAGATGTGATGAGACACTCATCACTTCGCTCATCCTCTGGCTGCCCCAGTGTCACCCTCCTTTCGCCAGCTGGTTGAGGTACCACTTCCCCTTTCATCATATCCCCCTGCCTGCCCTGCTTTAGAGCACTTGTCACAGACTGATGTCCCATCCGTCTTCTGTCTCTCCCAAGAGCTCCAGCTCCTTAAAGTCCAGGACAGTGGCCAATCCGTACACAGTATGACACCAAGTGACACGGACACAAGGACAGTTTGCTCAACCTTCTGTGACATCTTTCCAGATGCTACATTTCTCTTCTGCTTCAGGTGGTTGCAAGGTTGGTCCCAAAACACACACACACCCTGCTTTGGCCTCTCCCAACTCTCACCTGCATCTCTGGCCCAGCCACAGCCAGGTCCCTGATGGTACTGGGACCCAAGGCTTCGGTCATCTGTGTGAACTTCTTCACCTCCACCTCTGCTAGCTGCTGGGCCTTGCTCACTTCCAGCTCCAGCTGGGCCCGGGCATAGACCAGTTCCTGCTCTCGTACTTTCTGTATCCGTTGGAGCTCAGCCTCCTGCAGTGGGGAAAGCTGGCTACTTCAGATCATGTGGGCCTTGGGAACTGTCCAGGCAAGTCACTGAAGCCACTAAGCCTAGCACGGAGCTAAAAGTTCAGCCAGCAGGGTACACACCTCAAGTATACCACCATTCAGCTGGTAACCATAGAATTGTGTGGCCTGGGGCCAATTTACTAGACCCTGAAGGCAGACAGGGTACTTAAGTGCCCCACTAAGAAGCCCTTCACTGCCCCCACCAGCATCTTGGTCCCTCCACAGCAAATGGGGATGAAACCCACTGCAATGGGAACTGTCGTCTTCCTTTTGTGGTGCTGAACAGGGAATCCAGGATCTCACGGATGTTAAAGCAAGCCTTCTACACTGAGCTATATCCCAGTCCCTCAGAAGGATTTCATGCATCAAATAAGGCCATGAAAATAAAGCACATGCACCAGATGGCACAAAGGTGGCCAACCTTGGAGTTTACATATGTAGAATGGGTGTGGTAGTCCTTCCCTTCAGAGAAGGTAGTAAATACATTCCTGCAGGGCAAAGGACTGCCATAAACTGACAGCACCTGAATAGGACTTCTTAGCAGGGCACACAGTACCCTATCTGCCTTCAGGGACTAGTAAACTGGCCCCAGGCTATACAATTCCTAGTGACCCCTCTCACCGTCTCAATGGCCAGGGCCTGTGCCTTCAGCCTGGCCTGCAGCACGGAACCTTCTCCCTCAATCCGTGCAGCCTCTGCCCTTGACTCAGCCTCCGCCTTGGCGGTCCCAGTACTCTCCACAGCCATGCTGTTGGGGGTGGAGAGGAAGCAGAGTCAGGTAAGACCCAGGAGAAAGCCCTGCCCACCTGGGGCCTTACCTGTGCCTCGCAGCACGTGTGTGCTTGGTCTGTCCCTTTCTTCCTTTCTGACACGCACACTGACCACTGCGCCCACCAGCAGCTCTTCCAAGACCCTCTCCCTCCCCCATACTTCCTCCGCTAGTTCTCTGTTCACCTCATGGCCTCAAGCTCCAAGAGCTGCTTGCGAGCCTTCTCAGCTTCTGACTGGTCCAGGATCTTCTGCCTCTCCAGCCGTCCACGGGCTTCTTGCTCTAGTCTCTGGGCCTCATGCCTAGAGAGAGCAGGGACAGGTTAGATCCTATGTGGGTCAGACCTGGGAGACTTGTGCCAAGGGCAGAGACCACCAGGCTATAGTGAGCCTAGGCCCAATCCCCTAGAAGGCACTCAACATACACCTGGGCTCAGCATGGCTCAGCCCTAGGCCTGAGGAAGGCAGGTGAGCACACGGCCCCCGTTTTTACCTGAAGGACCCTCCAGTGATAACACAACCAACAATGATTTCACATAGTGATTAGCTCCCTGGAAGTAGTGAAAGGGGTAACCCAGCTAGGAAGGCGCCTCTATGGTCAGAGAAGAAAAAGCAATGCTATCCAGAGAGGAGCCTAACTTGGAACAGGTTTGCCAATAGCCCAGGGATAGTGCTTTCCAAGTGACAGAATGGCTGCTATAAAAGGTTGAAGGTGGAACCAAGTGCAGCTGAGAAGGGATGCAATAGTCTCCAAGGGCACAGGGTACAAAGTGGAGTGCAGGCAGCTGGGCTGGACCTGAGAGCCTGGAAGGCCATAGGAAGACCTTTTTACAAGCAGGGTGGGAGGCTGCAGATGCAGGGTGGCATCTCAGTCACAATTGAAGTAGGTCACACTATTCTCTGGGTAGAGAATTGGCTCCTTGAGGGGAAGAATGGCAGCAGGCTGACCCCTTGGATGCCATGTTATCCAAGTGAGCTCACATCTTTCTGGACTGGTGGTGGTGAACCTACGGCTTACATGCTGCAGGGGACTGTTGGTTATCATTCAAAGCTCTCAAAGGCTTGCTATCACTGGACTAAACTTTTAGCTGTAGATCCCAGCAGCAGGTGGGATGGGGACTCCAGAGAGATCTTCTGGGCAGCGAGGCCCCACGATGTCACTCACTTGGCTGCTGCCTCCTGGGAGTTGGTGGTGATCTCAATGGCCAGCTGGACACTACGCTGCAGGGCGTCCCGGGTCCGCTGGTCCACAGGTTCCACTGACTGCACATCCACGCTGCTGACCACCAGCCCATTTTGCGGGAAGAAGGCCCGGTCCCTGGCCTTGGGCAGGGCCAAGCCATCGGAGCCTTTGGTTTCAGATGGCTCAAAGCCAAAGACAGCTGCACGAATGATGCGGGCTGAGTTCTTATGGAAGTCATCGAAGGTGACTGAGGCCACAGCCCCCCGCACACGGGATGCGATGGCCTTGCAAGCATCCCCAACGAAGTCAGGCACTGAGAAGAGCTTGGCCACCTCCTGCGGGTCATTCCGGTTACTCAGTTCAAAGTGCCTATGAGCAGAGAGACCCAGGACAGGGAAGCTATTTTACCCTAGGAAGGGACAATTCTCTCTTTGATAGGACTTCAGTACCCATCCTCAGTGCCTGGACAGCATCACTTACAATTCAGACACTAATTTGTGTCCAGTAAGATTCTAAAAACCCAAACACATGTTCCCCTTTGCCTCTCAACCATCTTTGGTGGTAGAGACAAACATTCTTCCCATTTTATAGCAGAGGAAATGGGCCCAGAGAGGCTAAATGACTGGCCCAGGTCACCTGCACACAGCAAGCCAAAAAGCTGAAGCCAGGCAACCTGGCCCATCTGTGCTCTCAGCTGCAGTGCTGTTGTGTCCTAGAAGATACCAGCAACATGTGCCTTGTCATAGTATTGGTAACTCAGCCAGGAAGCAAGCTAGCTTGCTCCCCCACTCTTCCTTTTCTTTTTTTCTGGCACTGGGGATTGAACTCAGGGCCTTCACACTAAGTTATATCCCCCACTAAGTCTCTACACTGTACAGGGTGGGTTTGAATTTGAGATCCTCCTGCCACAGCCTTCTAGAATGCTGGGATTACAGGTGTATGCCACCACACCTATTTCCTTTCTTTTCAATTTTGAGATAAGGTCTCACTAAATTGCTTGGGATGGGCTCAAACCTGCAATCCTCCTGCCTCAGCCTCCTGAGAAGCTGAGACTATAGGTAAGCACCACCACATGAGTCATGAACCGCTGATCTTTTAAAAACACTTCAGGGATGCATCTGGCTGAACACAAACTGGGAGTTTAGCTGGGGTGGTGTTTTGCTACTGGATCCCTGAATGCCTGGTGTCAGGAGATGAGCCAGCATCTTCCTTGGACTTCATGATCTCCTAGCCTTTTTCTTTTTCAGTGCTGAGCATGTGAGCCAGGGCCTCCAGCATCCTACCACAAGCTGCCCTCCAAGTCCTCAGCTTCCTCCTTGACCAGGAGGAAGCAAATCCCAAAGCACTGGCCTCATGAGGCACATGTCCTCTGGGGGTTCCCTGGCACTGTACCTGCAGGTGCTTTGCCAAGGCCCAAGTGTAGCCCTCACCAGTTGTAGGCGAGCTGCAGCTGAAGTCTGGCATGATCAGCTGTCTCGATTGTGATGACATCTGTGAAGAAGTCAGGCCCAAGCAGTAGACAGAGGACTCGGCGGGCATGGGGACGTTTGGGCCGCCCTGCTGAGAGGGACAACACAGTGAACTGCTCCTCAGGACCAAGTGACACCAGTTCTGGCCCAAAGACCACGCTGCAGAGAGAGCCAGAAGTCAGACATGCATGAGGTGGGCAGTGCTGCTCCCCACCTCCACTGCCCCATGGTGGTGGCTCACCGGGCCCGCTTGGCTCTGTAGTCGTACACCTGCACAGCCGCGTTATGTGGCACTCGGTAACTAACCACGCGGGTCTTGTTCCGGGGAGTAGAGGGCTGACGGATACTGGTGGTATCCTTCATGCCCCTGTCGGCCAGGGGATCCTGTGCCTTGTTCAGCAGCTCCTCAACCCCAGGAGGTAGCTCTTTCTCCCATAGGACCTCGTCCTGGCTTAGCATGTAGGTGCTTCCGATCACAGCGCGCACCTTGAGGGGTAGGGACGGGCATTATCAGTGTGGGAGAGGGAGGAGCCATCCCACAGTCCTCAGCAGCACTGGCTGGCAGCATCGTGGCTTGGCAGTTTCTGCAGCAACTGCAAAGCTGGCCTCCACCTGGGCCATTCTGTCCGCTAGCTGTCTCCTTGGGCAAGCTGCCTCCTTCCTGTGCTTTGGTGTCCCAGTCTGGAAAGCAGACAGGATGGTGGAATCTCACCAGGCTGAGGAACGAGGAAAATTTCATATGCCTAGCTCAAAGAACAGCACTTGATGCATGGTGAGTGCTTAGTATTAATTCTAGTATCTTCCTTCCTGGGACAGCTGGGAGGGCATCACAGAGACAGACGCCAGAGTGGTGGAATTACAGGCTTGGTTTGGGGAGGAGGTTCTTACTATTCCTAGGTTATGCTCCATTGAGACATCTACACGGGTACCAGATCTGCAGTAGGGCAGAATCTCCACCTAAAACCTAGATCATTCTCTCAACTGAGTTTCTAAAATTTGACGTTAGATATTTAAGATAAAGATGAGCTGGGGATATAGGTCAGCTGCACAGGGCCTGCCTGGCAAGCATAAGGTCCTGAGTTCAAACCCCAGTACCAAAAAAAAAGATAAAGAGATGACAAATTCCCCGGGGAATGCCCCATCCAGGGAGACACTACTATACATGCTGCTGAAGTCCCCCCACAACCACCCCTCAGCCTCTCTCCATCACCACCACCAGCTTAGCCAGAGGAAGCCATTGCCGCACCACATAGCAGTACAGCTGCCCAGCCCTCAGCTGTCACCTTTCCAGTCTTGATGTCCTGCACATAGATGCCCTCATTCTCATCCAGAGGGATGGCCTGGCGCACTTCTACCACCTCCACCTTGGCTGACGGCACATATTCCAGGGGCCCTCGGATGAGCCAGTGGTCCCCGGCCTGGTGTGGGCCCTCCTCACCCTCCTCGCCCTCCTCCAGGGACTGCAGCGCCTTCAGCAGCAGCCCCTGCTGCTCAGACAGCACATACACGTCCTGGATGCCGCGCTCCAGCCTCTCGCCTGGCTGCAGGAAAAAAGACTTCTCGCCCTGGTGGGGAGACAGGGAGGAAGGGGGTCAGGAGCAGCTTCCACCCTGTGCCGCGGTCAACCCTGATGGCGTCTCCTTAACCCAGAACATGCACTGCTCCCCCACGTCATGTTCTTCACACTGTGAGGTTCAAGGCAAGTGCTGGTAGAAGCTCATTAGATCAAACATCCCTCGGCCACTGTTCTTTGTGGTGCTGGGGATTGAACCCAGGGCCTTTACACTGAGCTACATCCCCAGTCCTTTTTATTTTGAGACAGAGTCTTGCTAAGCTGCTAAACTGTCTGTCTTGCCTACACTGGGCTCAAATTTGAGACTGCTTTGCCTCAGCTTCCCAAAGTGCTGGGAGTATTGGGATATGCCACCATTCTCAACTCTTAAAGATTCTGCTTGGAAACAACTTAAATGCCCATCAACCATGGAATGGATAAAAAATAAGTGGTATTTTTATACAAGGATAAACTTGAGGCTTTTATAGATAAATGGATACAACTTGAGATCATACTCATAAGTGAAAAAAATCAGATTCACATATGTAAATATTGAATTGTCTCCCTAGTGTAAAAAACTGAAAGAGTAAATAGGATCTAAAATGTACAATAGACATTGTGAAGGGGGAAGAAACTGCTCAAAAAGAAAGAACAGGGCCAGGGATTTAACTCAGTGGCATAAGCACCTGCCTTGCAAGCATGCGGTGATGAGTTCGATCCCCCATAGCCCCCCGCCCAAAAAAAAATAAAGAAAGAAAGAACAACTGGGATGATGGAAAGGCAAAAAGGGAAAAGATTATATATATGATGATGATTATACTATTAATCTCTTAGTTCATCAAAAAGAACAGTTTGTGCTTTCATTGTTTGATCATTTTTTTCCTGCCTATATCTTTTTTTTTTGTCCTTTTCTTTTTTGGTACCAGGGATTGAACTCATGACCCCCTGCTTGCAAGACAGGTGCTTATGCCGCTGAGCTAAATCCCCAGCCCTGTATCTTGTAATCTGAGCAACTACTTTAAAGATAACAATACACAATAAATATCCTCAGGACTGGGGATGAGCCCAGGGGGCCTTATCCATGCTAAGCAAGTGTTTTACTACTAAGACGCACAATGAGAACTTTTTTTTTTTTTTTTTTTTTTTTGCAGTACTGGGATTGCACCCAGGGCACCTGCACTAAGCTACAGCCCTCCATCATGTTTTTTGTTTGTTTGTTTTGAGTGTTGTGATTACAGATGTGTGCCACCATGCCCACCTCAGAACTTAATTTTATTTTGAAATGGTGATCTTGAACATTAGTTATCCTGGCTGGCCTTTAACTTGCAATCCTCCTGCCTCAGCTTCCCAGCAGTTGGGATTATGGGAGTGCATCACCATAGCTGGCCTCCCACATACCTTAAATCATTTCTAGATTACTGATAATATCTAATACAATGTAATTGCTATGTTAGCAGTTATTATATTGTCTTATTAAGGGAATAACAAAGGGAAAGGTTTGTACATGTTCAGTAAAGATGCAATTGTTTTTCCAAGTATTTGGATCCCCAGCTGATTGAATGTGTAGATATGGAACTCACAGATAAGGCTGCTGGCTGTACTCTTACTATGATATGAGATAGGAGTATAACTCCCATATAAAATTTACCCATCTGGAGTAATACAATTCAGTTGTTTTCATATATTCAGAGTTGTCTAACCACCACAACTATGTAAATCTTGAATATTCTCATCACCCTGAAAAGAAAACTGGTACCTAGTAGTGTTTACTACTGAACTCTACCTACCTATTACCTCACCAACTACTAGTCTACTTTCTGCTCTCTGGATTCGCCTATTCTGAGCCTTGCACTTAAATGAAAGCATACATATGTGGCCTTTTCTGTGGGTTCCTATTTAGCAAGTTTCCACTTCTGAGTTGTAGCCCATGCAAGTATTTCTTTTTTTTTTTTTTTTGGTGTGGGGTTGAGGCTTTTGCTATGTAGTTCAAGGTGGCCTTGAAGTCATGGGAATCCTCCTGCCTTAGCCTCTCAAGTGGTGGGATTATAGGCATGCACCACTCTATCTGGCTCTTTTTTTTTTTTTTTATGTATAGTTGAATGATATCTATTGTATGGCTACGTCACTGTTTTTTATCCATTCATCAACTAATGAACATTTAGGTCATTTTTACTTTTTCTGGCTCTCGTTTTTTCAAATAAAATGTTCCAAGCACTCATCTGTGTACATATCATCTATGGTATGTTTATGACACAACAGCTGAACTGAATAGTTTCAACAGAAACCATGCAGTCACAAAGCCTTAATTACTATCTACTACACGGCCTTTACTGAGAACATCTGCTGACCCCTGGTGTTCACAAACAGAGCAAGCTAGGTGTGGTGGTGCATGCCTGTAATCCCAGCATTCTGGAAGGCTGAGGCAGGAGGACCAAAAATCTCACCTAGTCCGGGAAATTTAGTAGTGAGACCCTGTCTAAAATTAGTAAAAAGGGGCTGGGGAAGTAACTCATTGCCAAGATCAATCTTCAATACCAGGAAAAAGAGTGGGGAGTGGGAGGAGTATAAACCATGAAACTTTATGCAGGCTGACAGATTCCAGAACACAGAGATAGAAATGTAAGACTGAGTTCAGGGCCTGCAGGAATGGAGGGGCAGGAGATTTTCCAGAAGAGGCAATAATTCCCTAAGAGCCAAGGTCAGGCAGAGGCTGCTGAGGAATCGAATGGGACTGTGCTCCAGTCAGAGATGTATGTGTACAAAGGCACTGTCAGTGTTTCTAGAAAGTGTCCCTGGCACAGAGGGAGGGAAGGGAAAAAGCCAAGAAAGATTCTTGTCACTCAAGGCCTCTGATCCAAGCAGGACAGGCTCAAGAGGGAGAGGGAGTTTACCTTGATGACACGTTTTTGTCCCAACTGGTTTTTGCCATCTGGCCCAACTGGGTCGAGGACCACACAGTAGTGTCGGGGGCCCAGGGTTGTGATGGGCACGACTCCCAGCACCTCCTCATAGACATCTGGCACATGTGCTGCTGTGTCCCGCACTGTCACGAGCCATTCCTCTCCAGTGCGGCGGGCCACACCCCGAAAGTCCTGGAAGTTCTGGCGAGCACGGAGGTGCAGGGCTGTCTGCAGGAGACACTGGTATGAGCAAGTCTCCCTCCGACTTCCTCCCACCACTTTCCAATGGGGACCTGCGAACGCTGCTGGCCACTGCATACTCCCGCACTGCCAACCCAGGAGGATGTTCTACCCTTCTTGGATGCTCCAGCCCAGGACACTCCTCAGGTGATATGACCTCTAATTTTTTTAAGGACCTTAAAAATACTGCTTCTCTTTTACTCTCACATTGGCCACCACTATTCTCTCCACTTGGAGCATTCCCTACCCAGGGCCCCTTAACCCACATCCCTGGGGCACAAACCTTTTCTGTGAGGATCACAGCATCCACCAAATCCAGAACTTCCTCAAACACAGCTGGGAGATACGCACCCACTGAGCGAACCAGCCATTCTTCTCCTGTACCAAGGGTAAGAGGGAGGGTCAAGGGTCGCCAAGCCTCCTCCAGCCACCCTCCACCACACAGAAACTGGGGACTAGCAGGTCTTAGACCAAGAGCTGCCATTGCCCCCAGGCTCCAATCTTCGTTCTTTTCTTTGACATCAGACAGCTAACTTTCATCTCAGAAGAATTTAAAAAGCCCAAATTGCTGCTACACCAATACCTTGCTACACATCTCTAAATTGTAGCAACCAACTTTTTTCCTTCTCTGAAAACAGGCAGCAGAAGTGTCTCTATCGAGCTGGGGATGGTGACGCACATATGTAATCTCAGCACTGAAGGGTCTGAGGCGGGAGGATCTCTAGCACTTTGAGGTCATCTTGGGAGTACAGTACATAGTGCAGTGGTGGCAAACCCATAGCATGCGTGCTACAGCAGGCCATTTGTGTCCCTGAAAGCTCTAAAAGGTTCACCATAACTGACACAGTGTCTCAAAAACCCAAGGTGAACTGGACATAGTGATGCACACATGTAATCCCAGCACTGGGGAGGCTGAGCTGGATGATTGCCATGAGTTCAAGACCAGCCTGAACTACATAGTGAGACCCTGTCTCAAAAAACCCAACCCAACCCAACCCAACCCAACGAAACCCAACCCAGAGTTGCGAGATGGGCACATTCCCACAATCCCAGCTCTCTTGGAGGCTGAGGTAGAAAGATCTTGAGTTAAAGCCCAGTATGGGCAATCTAGCCACTTAGTGAAACCTTATCTCAAAAAAAAAAAAGTTGGGGATGTTGTTTTCTTGTTTGGAGTAGCAGCAAGAATGCCTGCAGCAGTTCCCAGTCTTACCCTGCCTGGCCACACAACCCAGCAAGTAACTAGACTCCTGTGCCTCAATCTTATCTCATGGAAAATAGGAACAGTTGTACCTTTAGGTTGTCAGAGAGCTAAACAAGTTATAATTTATAAAGCATTAAACCACATCTGGTAGAGTGGATGCTAAATCTGTTTGCTGAACTAGAACCAGAGCAGACTTGGCAGTGGCTCTTACCACAAAGTACAAGGTGAGATGGACAAAGCCTGCATGTGTGGGGAAGCAGCCTGGGGAGCCCTCAGCAGGTGTAAAGACTCATCAGGGGGGCACCCTGGGGCTGCAAGTGGCTTTCCCTTATTTCCTCTGAAGACCAGGTCCCCTTGCCCTCTGCGCCACTGGTCCCTCTTGGAGACTCCACCTGTCACCCTCTCCTTGCCGTCCCGGTCCCAGCACTCCTTGCGTGCCCTCAGCCGCAGGGCCTGGTTCGGTTTGATGACTGTGGCCTGAATGATCTCCACGACTTTCACCTCCTTCTGGGGGATGTATGTGCCTGGGAAAGGATAAAGTAGGGGCCATAGAGTGTCCAGGTCACAACAGAAGGGCAGGAAGCTCCCAACCCCAGCAGCCCTGAAGGAGACCTGACATACCAGGTCCCTCAAACAGCCACTCATCTCCTGCCACCACCTTGTCCCCATTCTTATGCACGAAGTCCAGTAGTGCCTTCAGATGCAGGGCAGTGTTGGGCAGAACCACCTGAAGCGGGGTGCTGGCCTGGTAGGGTAAGAAAGAGGCATGGGGCAATCAGCTATGACTCCAAGAGTCAAACTTGATGGAGTACCTGGAGGTCAAAGGCCATGGCACAAGAAAAAAATTTTTCTTTGAAGTACTGAGGATTAAACACAGCACCTTGGGCATTCTAGGTAAGTGGTTTACTACTGAGCTACACGCCCAGCACTTTTTAATTATTTTTGGGACAGAATCTTATTAAGCTGCCTAGGTTGGACTTGAGTTTGGATGCTCCTGCCTCACCGAGGTATGGTATCATTTTTCACATTGCCAAATAAGACCCAGGTATAAGGTGCAAGGACGGGATCATGTGGTCTCAAGAGCAAAGGGAGGGGGTTAACCAAGTGAGAAGATGCCACTGCTGAAGATCCAAGAATGCACTCTCCACTGCAGAGTGCTGAGGAGTTCTCTGCACTAATAATCTACTAGGACGCTACTAGGGGAGGACTGTCAGGCGTAGGAAATACTTGGGAAGATGGATCAACACTTCCCTCAGGGGACGAGGTGTGCTGTTGCTCTCTAGGAAATACAGGATGGGCAGGTATCAACTGCTCCCAAGGCTGCGTTTTAAGCTCATGGTTTTGTTTTCAAGGTCACTTCACAATCACAAGACACTGAGGTGACTGCACTCCAGTGATTTCATCTCCCTCCATCTCCTTCCATCGGAAGGAGGGTGGCAAAAGGTAGGCAAACTCTTTAAAAGTTTGCAGAAATGTCTCTAAAATGTTTTGCCAGAGGCAGAATGGAAAGGAAGAGATTCAGAGAGGTTAGGGGAGGTGATTAATGTCACACAGCTGATAAAGAACAGAAGCAAGACTTGAACCCTAGTGAGGTCTGCCTGTGCTCTTTACTCGTAACTAGATGGGACCTGGGCTTCAGGAGGCAGAGGAATGCTCTAGGCCACTCACAGGGCTGGAGAGCCGGAGGTAAGGCTCCCTGCCCCACACAGTGCACACAGCACTCTGGTCACTGGGGAGGAGGGACACAGCCCTGTGTCCTAAGGGTGGAGGGGAGAGAGAGAAGGAGGTGCTGGGATGTAGCTCAGTGAGAAGGGGGTGGGGGTTCCGACAAAGTAGGGAAGTAGGGAAGTTCTCAGGACTTTGAGAACCCGGGGATGGGAGAGTAGCCAGGTAGAAAGCAGAGGGCCCAGGGACAGGATGGAGTCAGTGGGAGGGAGGCTGGTGTTTGGGAGCAGCGAGGCAGCGGGGAGAGTAAGCCCATCCTGAGTGATGCAGCACCAGGCAGGGCTGCAGCCAGACATGGACAAGAGTCTGAGGTCAGCCTGGGCGACACAGCCAATGTCCATCTTGAAGCCAGCTGCTGATGCCGGAGGAGCTGGTCAGCCGCCAGCCTGAGCTAGGGCAGGTGCTGTGATTATAGGCGAACCCTGGTTCGAGGGTAGGAAGGACCTATCTGTGGCACTATGCCCTCATTACTGGGGCACAAGCAGGGAGAGGAGATGAACTCCAGCAGCTAGGGCTGGAGCTTCTAGGAAGGCAGGTGTTACAGGAAGGTGACAAGAATGAAGATAATTTTAGTTCTCGGCTCTGGGGAGTCTTGGTAGCACAAGTATTGCTCCTCCTACCAAAAGGGATTTAAGTGGTCTGAATATAGACTTGTTTTGTTTCTTAAGAGGGTCTCACTATATAGTTCAGGTTGGCCTTGAACTCATAGTGGTGAACTCTTGCCTCAGCCTCCCAAATGCTGGGATTACAGGCACATACCACCACATCTGGGTTGAATACTGATTTTTAAAAAACTTTTCATTTTAACAGTTTCAGACTTACAAAAAAGTTGCAATATATATTCTCTTCAAAGATTCCTCTAGGGTTAATGTTTTTTTATTCTGTCACTGTCATTTTCTCTTTCCACACACATGCTCTCCCCCACTCCCATTCCATCTAAGTGGACAAGAATGTCTCAAGAGGCTCCCAAAGTCACCCTATTATGTGTTCAAGATCAAGAAGCACTGATTAGGCTGGGTGTGAGGGACAGGCCTGCAGTTCTTCCACTCTAGAAGCCTGAGGTGGGAGGATTGCAAGTTTGGTGATGCAGTGAAGCATGAAGGCTCTGGGCCCAATCTCTAGTACTACAAAAAACAAGGAAAAGAGGAGGAGGAGAAAAGAGAAGAGGAGGAAGAGCAGCAGTAGCAGCGGTGGCGGCAGCACTGGTTAGTAAAGAAACTTAGAATTAAAAGGTACAAAATGGGAAGAAGGTCTAGGTAGAATCATCGGGGAATAGTCTGCCCATGTGCTTGGTCCAAGTTCTGAGGACAACAGAGACCAGGCCCTGGCTGGAAGTCCAGGTCTGTAATGGCTTCCTGGAAACAGTAACAGCACTGGCCATTACCGTTGTGTCACTGCCCATCACTGTCTAAGAGAATGAAGAGTTTGACCTTGGCAGAGCCAGGCAGTGTGAGCCAGCTGGCAGTTCTGGCAGGTACCAGAGCCTGGCGGACAAGTGGTGAGCTGGGCCGTGGTCCTCAAAGCCGGGGGTCAGCCTAGGATAAGTGAGGAGGGAGTGGGGGGCTGGAACGGTGCGTGGGGACAAGGAGTCAGCACTGCCTTGGTGAGAACCAGCGTGTCCCTCCCAGCCTTTTCCACTGGCCCAATTTGCCTTTTTTCCAGCAGGGTTTATTTTCCCTCAGGATGGGTGGAGCGGGAGATGGGTAGATGAAACAGGTACCTTCTCTAGCACCTCCCCTGGGTACAGCGGGAAGGGGTCCTGGGCCAGCCGGATCTCTTGGTCACCGTGACGGAGCCGTACTTGCCCTGTGACATCAAGCAGCACGGAGCCCTGGCCATCCCGGCACACAGGGTTGGCCACTACACAATAATGGCGTGGAGGGACAGTCACCATGGGCGAGGGGGAAAACAGTATCCTGTCCAAAATAAGGAGGAGTAAGAGGACCCAGAAGAGCTAGATCCCCACTCCAAAGGAAGTGGCAAATGCAAGAGAAACCCCATTACTCCAGTGAGGGCCACTCCTGCATGGAATAGGAAGGAGGACGATTGTCAGTCAGGCCAACAGGTAGGGAGGGCCCCATACCAACCTCTCATTGTCTTGCCGGATGTAGGTCTTTGGCCCAATCTCCACACGGGACACATTGCTGTTCTGGTCCAGCACGTGGATGTAATGGTATGGGGGGATGCGGACGATGGACTCCCCATTGGCCATGGTGGTTCCTAACCCCCGGGAGAACCTGAGTGCAGGGTGAGGCATAGACAGGTGGCAGGGACATGAAATGAACAAGAGGGCTAAGGGTGAGTCAGGCCCCTTCTTGCCTGTCCCATGACTCCCTTTCCCTCTCTTCCCACCCAGGACAACAGGCCCATCCAGATCTTGTAGGAGTCAATCCCAGAGGAACAGGAGTCACTGTCACTTCCTTTCTCTCCCAGCCCTCTCGCATTGCCTGCTGTAGATCAAAAGGGCTTTAGATCAAAAGGCTCCCAGTCTCTAAGCTGCAAGAAGAGGTCCGAGGCAGAGATGGTCCTTGCCCAGCACTTAGTGGAAAGCAGAGGCTTTGTAGCTCTTTGGCGCCTCTAGAGGCTGACAGCTTTTATTTTCAGGGGATCCAGAGGGCTGGTTGCACAGCAAAAGGTAGATCTATAACCATCATATTAGCAGATCTCCTTCCATTCTCCTCCCTCTTTCTGTGCTTTACACAATCCAAGGGTGAACACTCAGGACACGGTCCACCATGGAAGGTATCCCTGACCAAACTGATGCTCCCATTTATCAGGCGGATCAGTACTGCATGCAGCAAGTTATTCCAGCAGGGACGCCTTGGTTAACAAACACTTTTGTTCACAAACAATTCTTAAGCATTTGACAAAATTTTGTTTCTGTTCACAAACTCCACATGGGGTGACAAACACAACTGTGGCCATTTTCCACACACAAACACAAACACACACATCTTCCCCAAAATCATAAAACATATTACATTAAGTCTGAGAAGTGAGGTAGCCCTGGTTCCGTATTTTGTGTCCCAGTTTTCTCTCTCTTGTCTGTGTTCTCCTTTGGTTCCCTGTTTTGGAAAGAGGGAGGCAAAAGCATAATGGAAAAGGGTAAATGATTTCTGTGTTAAACCCACCCTGAATGCTTGGTGGTTTAACCCTGAGCTTGGTCTGTTCAGGAATGTCACACACTTTTTCTAATTTGAACTCGTCCCTTGAGTCAGACAAAGGCAATCAAGCTTGCTCAGCAACTCAGAGCCTTGTCCTAAAACAGATTATGGGCAGGCTTTCTTCTTTACCTTTCAATGCTAGAGATCAAACCTGGTTAGGAATTACACATTAGGTACTAGCCAAGTACTGTACCACTGAGCTATACCCGGAGCCACCAGACATTTCCTTCCTTCCTTCCTTCCTTCCTTTTGATCACCTTGATATCTTGGCAATCCTCCTGCTTTAGCCTTCCAAGTGCTAGGATTAGAGACATGTACCACCATGCCTGGCTCCCCAGTAGACATTCTGAAAGCCACCCTAGAAAGGAGTGGTTCTCACTCCAGTACTCACTGGCCACCCATTCTGGTGAGAAATGAAAGCAATCTGTAAAGGGCGTTAGCTTCACAAAGCAAAAATAGGCAGAAGGCAGAAAAAAAGCCCCACAAAAAACAAGACTGGAGGGAAAGTGTTTCTTGATCCATATAACCTGTAAAATTTTGTGGTGTTGTTTTGTTTTGAGACAGGCTCTATGTAGTTCAGACTGATCTTGAACTTGTGAGAATCTTTCTGAGTGCTTTTAGAAATAAGTTTTCAACCAGGAATAGTGGTGCACATCTATAATCCCAGCACTTTCGGAGGCTGAGGTAGGAAGATCACAAGTTCAGGCTCACCCTGGGCAGTTTATTGATTTACTGTGAACCTGTTTCAAAATAAAAAATAAAAAAGGGTAGCTAAGTGCAGAGGCTCTTGATTCAATCCCCAGAACTGCCAAAAAAGAAATGATGAGTTTTCACAAGCTTCCAATTCCTGCCTCCTAATTCTCAAAGAAATAGGAGACCAACAACACAACACTGGTCCATATTCTCATGTGGCAAAATGGACTAGAGCCAGGTAGCAGCTGCCCCTTTTAGATTATTATAGGCAGTTAAGTTAGATAAAAATTAATATACAGTCAGAGAGTGGCTGAGCTCTCAAGGAAGTCAGTACAAAAATAAAGACATCAGAATTGTGGCTGGCCCATCAACTGGTGAACAGATAAAGAAGCAGCGGTTCTTTTATACAATGGAGCACTACTCTGCCACAAAGAAAGATAGGCTCAAGACATTTCTAGATAAATGAATGCACCCTGAGACAATTATCTTAAGTGGAACAAAACCCACTAGGCAAAATGTGTAAAAATTGCACTATTTCCCTGGTGTGAGAAACAGAAAGTGTAAATAAGGACCAAAATGTGTAATTGGTATTGTTAAAATAGGAAGAAAATGTTCAAATGGAGAGGGAAACAAGAGAAGGGAGAGGGGGGAAAGGAAAGATAGGAAAAGTAAAAAGAAAAATGAAAGAAGGAAAACATGGAAACAAAATGGGGAGGGGACGAGGGAAAAAAGAAACAAGCTATATCAAATTATATCATGTACAAATTCTCCATGAAGAATGTGATCATCATGTATTCTAAAATATACCAATACGGACAGGGCCAGGAATTTAGCTCAGTGGCATAAGTGCCTGCTTGGCAAGTGCAAGGTCATGAGTTCGATCCCAAGATTATACTGCTAATTAGTGCCACCTGGCCTAGTATGCTAGGCATCAGTCTCCCAGAGCACCTGGACTCATTCCTTCCCCCAAATGTCTTTGTTCTCGCCAGGTACCCTTGCTATGTGGCTTGTTTCCCTATTGGCTCAATGTTGGCTAAGTAGTTATACTTGTAATCCTATAGCGGGATTGGGAATGGTATAATTGTGCTGTATGAATTAGCCCTGCAAAGGGCCCCACTGACCACCCCATTGTGACCCCTCCTGGAAATTCAGGAACTATTCTTCTCTCATTCCTAATAAAACTCTCCTAACTTCTCCCTCTGGTTCACGACTTCATTTCTCAATGTTGTGGGACCACAAATGCAGCACATTCGACATCCAGCAGACTGGGAGTTGTATTTACCTATACCAAGATGCAACACAAGTGTTTTTGCTTACCATAATCCCCTCTCCTCCCTATCTGGGCCACGGCATGCATCTTCCCGTCTAAATCTCTAACTCAGCATTGTCCAACAGGGCTTCCCATGATAATGGGAATATTTTAAGTGTGCTCTATTTCTGGATTAGCCACATATGGCTACTGAACACTTCAAATGTGGCCAATGCCTCTGAAAAAATAAGTTTAAATTTTTAAAACTATTTATGTCTTTATTATATTTTTAAGACAAGGTCTTGCTATGTAGTACAGGCTAAGCTTGAAATTGTGACCCTCTTGCCTAAGGATCCCCACCTAGCTGAGATTATGGATATATACCACCATGCTCAGTGATAAAATTTAAACATTAATTTGGGAAGATGGGGTTGTAACTCAGTGGTAGAGAAGGTGCTTAGCACATATGAGGCCCTGGTTTGATTCCCAGCACTGAAAAAAATTTTTTTCAAACTTTTAAAAAGCTAAACATGTCTGGTTGATCCCTTGCTGGATGGTACAGCTCTAAGCAGACGAGACCCAAATAGGAGAGGGATGCAGAGCTAGCCTACCTGGGCTTACAATCCTGGTTGACTATTTTACGCTTTGTAAGTTTTCTTATTTTACCTCTTTTTGAAAGTTGCAGCTTTAATGTCTTCCTGATACACTTTCCGTATCAGAGGGATGTCCCTCTATATTCTTTTATCTCATAATTTTGTATGGGAAGTCACCTTGATACTTTTTTATGACTCACTTCTGCTTGAAGTTAATTCTCCTAACTTGTAAGAAAGTGGCTTTCCTAGTTCAGAGTTCTCTCCTGCTGTTTAAGAAGAAGGGGTCCCCTTTCTGATTTTCTGGCTCTGCTCCCCTCCCCATTCCTACCCCTACCTTCTCTTTTTTTCCTCTCCCTTGTTCTGAGAAGGCTACTTTCAAGACTTCACAGGGTTGGAACTGTCTGGATGGTGCTCCTCACCCTTATAAGATGGGTGACTCTAGACAAGTCCTATGACCTCCCTGTATCTGTTTCTTTGGCTACAAAATGAAGATGGATCAGCTTGGCAGGCAGCGCACATGCATAGTTCCAGTACTCTGGGAGGCTGAGGCAGAACAATCACAAATTAAAGCCTAGCATAAGTAACTTAGTAACTTAGCCAGAGCCTGTCTCAAAGCAAAAAAATTTTTTAAATGGCTGAAGATGCAGCTCACTGAGAAGGCCCTGGGTTCAATACCTAGTACCACAAAATAAAATAAAATTAAAATAATTTTTAAAAGCAAAATGCTCAGGAAAGAGCCAGGCTGCTAATGAACCGTGTTTTACTGTACACAGAATACTGGTAGTACCTGAGGCCCAACTTTTCTATCCAGGGGTAGTACCACCGGCTCTCCCTGCGTGATCTCCTGGCTTTTGCTGGGTGACAAGTCTTCTGTTATGCCAGCTGTGGGGCTAGAGGCCTAATAAAGTATGCTTCCCAGAGCCAAGTGAGCTTTTCTCAGCAGCTGCTCTGCCAGGTTCTCTGCAGGGTGGAAGCCCGGCCAAGAAGCCAGATGGGGCAGAAGGAAACGCTTGGGCTACAGGCGGAAGTGTAGGCCAGGCTGAGGCCCCACAGGAAAGATCAGAACTCTAGAAGGCCATGGGAGGCTGGAAGCAGGCTCTGGGAACAGCTCCACTTGCTCCTTCTTGGATGATCCCCTGCTCCCCCATGGCTGAGGCCTCTCCACCATCTGCCACCCCAGCTGGACCCACTCAGGGGGACTGAACACCTCCCCCAGCTCAGTGACTCAGCAAGTTATCCTCACCACAGGTCATGCTGTGCTCCTGCCCTGGCTTCAGGGCCAGAACCCTGTCTCCACTCCCTGAGTGCCCCCTCACATACCATAAAGCTGTGCCTCCCCCAACTGCCTGCCAGATCACTCAGAGCAGGTGTTGCCCTTAGATTCCTACCAGTGTGTTTGTGACAAATCTTAGGCCTTTATGGCTCACCAGATGACATGCACAGTTAGAGCATTTTGCTTCAAGGTCCTCAAAAGGAAAAAGTGAAGCAATATGTTCATCTTTAGAAGGGAGAGCCCAACTCATGGGTCTGGCTCTAGCTCCCCAAACCTACATACTCACCAACCACCCTTGAATCTCTTCCTGAGATCTACCCCAGCTGGCTCTGGAGGTACATGCCCAGCCTTGCCTAGTCACAAGGGCCTCAGATGTCATGAGATTTCTGCAAGAACCATATAGCAAACCCTAACTCAAAAAGTAAAAACCAAAAGAGAACCACAGCCAATCTTCACCAATCTCACACTCATTTTCCACAAGGGATAATAGAGGACAGACAGGGAAAGATCTAAACAGTCTGTTGGCAGCATACACAGTTTATTCTCTACTTCAAAGAGGGGATCTGAGCTGGGTAGCAGCTTGGTGGTAGAGCTCATGCAGAGCATGCTCTGGGTTCCACCTGTACCACTACTCAGGGGCTCCTGGTCCAAGTCTCTTAACTCAAAAGAAAAACGATTTCAGCCAAAAATCAATAAATTAATAAGTCATGAGATCTTCACATTCACCTTTGAGTGAGTGGCTGCCAGTGAATACGAAACAGACAATGACAAAATGACCACATGCATACAGTTGGCTGAGAGCAGCAGGATACCACCTGGAAGCACGCAGTGATGTGATACAGGACCTCAGGTCCTACCCCAGAGCTGCTGCTACAATAAGCATTTGCACCAGATTCCCCAAGGATTTGGGCCTATGGCAAAGTTTGGGAAGGGCAGGCAGGCCCACAGCAGCCACTCTCAAAACCACTGTACACAGAAGCATCCAGAAATCACTTAAAGCACCCATCCCTGAGGATTCTTGCTTAATCCAAGCACTGCTATTTTTAAAAGCTCTCATGCTGGTTCTAATATACAAAAAGAACTTCGAGTCAGTGGGGAAAATGTCAGTCTGGCCAGTTCTGGCATCATCAGCTCGATCACAGGGCACTCAGGAGCCACCGCCTTGTTCTTGCTCCATCATAAGGCAGGAATAAAAGTGACTGCTTCCTCTAGTTGTAGGTACTAATTAGAGAAAATATGTCTAATGCATATTAGAAAATATGTCTAATGGGCAAGCATAGCTGGGAAGAATAAAGATGAGCTCAAATGACAGATTGCTCAAAGGCAAGGAATCTTTCCCCTGCTCTGTACGAGGGACTGAATCCAGGACTTTGATACCGAGCTACATCCCAACATCTTTTTTTCGTTTGTTTTTTTGGTTTTCTGAGACAGAGTCTTACTATGTAGTTTAGCCTGACTTTGAATTCACTGTGTAGCCCAGGCTGGCATTCTACCTGCCTCAGCCTCCTAAGTGTTAGGATTACAGGAGTGTGCCACCATGCCCAGCCCTAATCTCTTTGTAGTTCTCTGAGACAGGGTTTTGATAAATCCCCAAGTTGGCCATGATGGGGTTGAAAATGTGATCACCCTGCCTCAGTGTCTCACATTCCATCACACGTGGCTGGAATTTCATTTATTCTTTCCTAGTTTTTTTCCCTGTCCCAGCTCCAAATAAACTCCTTTGTCCCCACCCTAGCTCAATTCAGGCAGTCCTGAAATTCTGAAGCTGTTAACTCAGCCCTGCCACTAGATGTCTACCACCTTAGGTTTAGTAAAAGGTACGGGAAATGTTTAGTAAAAGGTGAGTGAAATTTAGTATAAACAAGGACTCTTGGCTGAGAATTAGTTCAGTTGAATCCTTAGCACCACACACACACACACACACACACACACACATCAAAACAAAAAAACACCTTTCACAAAATCTAGGGGTTTTTTTCTTTTTTTGTAGCAGGAATTGATCTCATGATCTTCTGCTTACATAAACAAGCACTTGAGCCACTGAGCTAAATTCCCAGCCCAAAATCTAGACCTTTCAATGGAATTTCTTTTCCTTCATTAATCTGTTATTTTGTTTTTGAAACAGGGTCTCACTATGTAGCCCAGGCTGGCCTAAACTCACAGTGATTCTCCTGCCTCAGCCTCTAGAGTGCTAGGTTCACAGCATACTCAAGTCTTACTGATTTTTAAACATTCTAGTCCAGTGATAGAGAACCAATGGTATGCATCCTAGGCTGTTTATCACTGAAAGTTTTCAAAGGTTTGCCATTGCTGTATTCTGTTTAGAGAATGAGTCACGAGCCACAAGATTCAGGTACATGGAGGGCTTATTTTTCACTCAGCAGTTTTCTGGTTTATCAAAACCAGTTCCTGCTCTGGGGAATAAGGGAATCACATTTTTTAGTGACAAAGTTTTAACTTTTATTCAGAAAAACAATCTTTCCTGAGTGTCAGTCCAACTGGGCCACTCTATTATGGGAAACAGCTTGGTGACTATACTGGAGCATAGCAGCCTGCCAGCCTGGACTCTGCTCCTCCTACTTCCTTGATTGCTGCCCATAAATACCCATCATTGAAGGTGGGGACTGTGCAGGTTAGAAGTGACCTGTGCCTCCAGGCTTCTGAACCCTGAAAGCTAGATGGTTTCCTAATCTCACCCGATCAGAGAAGTTGGCAGGGATTTTTTTTCTTCCCCTTAGCAAAGGGGCTCTTGCTATGTTGCCCAGGCTGGCCTTGAATTCCTAAGTTCAAGTGACTCTTCTATCTAAATCACTCATACAGTTTTTGGACTAGCAACGTACTCTAGCACTCCTGGATTTTGGCTGGGATGCTTAATCCTGCTCATGTTCCATTCTGGACTCACTGAGTCAAGGTTTGCAGAAGACTCTTATTTTTTGTTTTTGGTCTTTTCTCTTTTTTTGTGTGTGCTGGGAAGTGAACTCAGGGCCTTATGCTTGCCAGGCCGGCACTGTGCTATTGAGCTATATTCTTGGCCTTCCAGAGACTCTCAACTAAATCAGGCATTTGTGTTAAGCATCACTAGTGAACTCATTTTATCTTCATAAACCTGCAAGTTAAGGAACATGCACTCAAGATTATACAGCTTTCAAAGGTTCAAGACAGAATTCTATCCCAGTTTCATAGTCAGATGTATTGTGGCTTCTTAGGCAAAAGCATCAATTTGATTCCAAGCCTAGTATAAGGACTTCGGACCTGGGCGAGGCTGGGTGCTGCCCAGGAAATTGTGCCAATGGCATTCATAGGTGAACTTTTCCTACAGTCTGCCAATGCCCAGGCTCTACACCTAGAAAACCTGGGAGGGTATCACCTAGCAAATAAGCCTGGACACTCAACCATTTAGTCCTCAGGTTGTCCTTGGGCCATTCACTCAAGATGGCTACTCACGGTCACCATGAACTGTCCTGGCTCTTAGAGGCCTGCCCTTAAGCAAGGAGAAACATGCAGGAATTTCCTTGGAGACCTACATGACATCCAGCCTCATCTCTAAATCCCAGGAGTAAACCCTGGGAGAGCAGAGGACACAGGAGACAATTGTCTCAAGGGCCATTGCCCACTCAGTGTGATCCATGTGACAGTTCTAAGATCCCCAGAATCACCACACAGTGGGTCTGGCTGAGCTTCCTTTTACTGTCCGAACCTTACTCAACAAACTGCACGGTCTCGAAATTGTGCCTACCTCATGATCACTCTGCTAGCAGCATCTTAAGTGATCAGCTAAGGCCCACAGTTGGCAGCATGGAATAGAGAACAGTAGGGAAACCTCAACATTTGGAAGGGGGTGGTTCCCAACGGGGACTAGTCACATTCTTGGAGCTCAAAGCAACAAGATGGAGTCTAGGTCTTTAGAGGATGAGAGCATGCAGTTCAGTCAAGGACCAATCTAGCTCCTAGATGGAGTCTTGAATGGACCTGCAAGGTCACTTGTCATTTAGAAAATTTTGTTGTAGCACTGGGAATTGAATGGAGAGCTTTGACACTAAATTACACCTCAGTGCTATATTTAATTCTCTGAGACATGGTCTCCCTAAATTGCCCAGGCTGGCCTGAAACTGGTCACTCCTCCTGCTTCACCTCCAAATGTTGGGATTATAGGTTGCACGGCAAGGAGCCTCTGTGTGCTGGCTTACAGGTGTGCACCACAACACACTGCTTGTCCTCATTCTTGAGGTATAAAATTCCCAAGTGATGTTATTTTCTCTCAACATTCTAAAGACTTTTTTCCACTATTTTCTTACTTCTTTTTTTAAATAATTAAAAGTAGGTCACTGTTTTGGACTACACTCAGGTAGTAAGTACCAACAGACTAGACTGAAAATCACGATGAAGTCACTCATGCTAAAGTTCCACATCACCAAATCAAAATGAAGATATTTGCTCTTCCAATAATTGAGAGGAGAAGGCAAACAGGGCAAATTAAACAAAAAGAGAATGAAGTTCTGCTTTCTTACCACAAAAAAATTTTTTTAAAAAGCAAAAGTAACTCGATATAACTATTCAGTCTTTTTTTAATTATTGTTTCCCTGTCCCTGCTGTTCAAGGAAAGTAACTGAAATGACAGATTCAGCCAGACAAGATAAAGCCCTGTAAAGCAAGCACTTGAGTGGTGGAAGCAGGATAGTCAGAAGTTTAAGGTCATCCCGGGCTACATAGTAAGTATGAAGCCTGCCAGAATTACACAGAGAAAACCTGTCTCAAAAGAAAAGACCAATTCAGACAGTCATGGTGGCACAAGCTTGCAATCCCAGCACCCTGGGAAGCCAAGGCAGAAGGCTGCTAAGTTTAAACTCAGTCTGGGCAATTTAGTGACCCCCATCTCAATTTTTTTTCCCAGTCTTTCTGAGACTGGGTTGAGCTATGCAGTTCAGGCTGGCCTCAAACTTAAACTACTTCCTAAGTGCAGGATTACAGGCATGCGCCACCACACTCAAAAAAAAGAAAAAAAAAAAATTAAGAGTTCAGGAAGTAACTCAGCACCGAAGTCCAGGCTTCAATTCCCAGCACGGCACCATCTTACTTCTGTCAACCCTTCAACCAGAAGCCTAAGACTGGAGGTGGGGGTGGGGAGCCCGCCAACAGATGTTCCCTTTCTTCAAGCCCCAGAAAACCCGCAACAAGGAAGCACCCAAAGCGAAGCCTCCACCCTTTCTCCCTGTTCTGATTCAGAAAAGCCTCAGCAGAAGCAAGGCCCTAAAAGGTAGGACAGGGCGAAAAACTGTATGGGGCTCAGAGACCCACCGTTAGTTGAGGAGGGGAGGCAGCAGGGAGGCAGCGTACTCACATTCAAAAAAGCAGCCGGCAGCGGCGCTCCGCAGGGCAGGGAATTCCCACTCTGCCCTGGGACCTCTTAAAGGCACAGCCGGGCGGGGTCTGAAGCGGGGCTTAGGTAGTTAAAGGGCCAGGCAGCTGACGCGCATTTTCTCCTCTGGGCTGCGTTGGTTGCAACTGAAGGTAAGAGAGCCCATTCCAAGCTCAGGAATTTCCGCTTTAGAGCCAGCTGGCAACGGGACCGGCTGCGACTAGGACTAGTCAAGGACCCAAGATGGGACAGATGTTGCCTCTGTATCAACTAACTTTAGTTTTCCAATTTGGGAGTCAAAATTCTACCTCTTTGCTCAAATGTGGCCAATTGTTTAGTCTCCAGCTATACCTCCTCTTAAGAAAATTCTGTGCACCTTTTATTTTAGAAAATCCATCCCAGGTTTCAAAATGAGACATTCAACAGAAAATCCACGCACATTTCCTCTTTCCTGCAAGGTGCTGTGTTGGGAGCTTGGGGTTTTACTCTTCCCAAGTTTTCCAGTGTTCTGATTTAGAAAGGGAGGGACCAGGCCCTAGCAGGGACAATCTCTGCACCTTGCAGGAAGTAGCAGCAATAGTCAGTTTTTCAGTATTTCCGCTGCCGGGGGAAGAGATTACTCCCTGAGGACCGGAGCGGGGGGCTGGCTGGGCTGGGGTCCTCTGAGTCTAAACTGAAGAGGTCTCTCCCAGTACGAAGAATCTGCTCCTCCAGCTTCTTGTGTCGCTTCATGTCTGAAAGGACCTTATCTAGGCGCGCCTCCCTTTTCTGGCTCCGAGTCGAACTTCCTAGAGAAAAGGCAGGCAGGAAACATGGAAGGGACTGGGGCAGTGTACACCACTGCTGCCCGGATCTTACCCACCACTTGAGGAGCATGTTCAATACAGAGGCTTCCAGGCTTTAGTGTAAAGGTTATAAGGTTAAAGCTGGGCCACAGTGTGGGCAACAAAGGTCTTCAACGGGAAGACTGGGAAGAGCATGTGAAGCAGGGGAAGGGAAAGTACAAAGGCCCCAGGCAGAAAGAGATATGTTTCAAGATGCAAGGTGGGTTTGGCAGGTAATTAAATTGTCTCTCCACAGTCTCTTCCCCTTACAATGGAGCCTTTGGGGAGATTTTAAGTAGAGAAGTGACATTTGTTTTAAACAAACTGCTTCGGATTAGAAGGGAAATGGATGAGGCACTACCGAAACTATCCAGGCAAGTGAAATAGTGGCTTGAATGAGGATCTGCCATTGAAGGTGGACAGGGACAGATGGACTTGGAAATGTGCAGTGAAGCTAACAGGATTTGGCTTGAATATGTGGATAAATGGAAGGCACCTTGGGTAGGAAACTGGATCAGATTAGGTGGTACACACAGGAATGTAGGGATGTGGATAGAGAAAACAATGACCAGGAGGGCTTGGACTTCTGGGCAGAACATGTAAACAATGGAAACAGGACAGAACCATGGGTGGTGGTTTCTTAAAGGAAGATAGGGAAGCCAGAACAGTGATGCCACAGTGTGGATGGTTTTTCCTAGAAGCTGTGTGTCAACTGAGCACGGCCTCTTATAGAAGCTACTTTTTTGGTAACTGGGAAAAGGCCTTTCAGCTCCCCCAACTCACCCCTCTTGTCTGTACCTGGGGCTCGCCTTCGATCGATTAGGGAGTCCTTTGGTGTCATTGGTTCGTCATCGAAGTCAAATTCCGTAGGTATGTGTGGTCTGGGACAGGAAGACAAAACAGCAACAGATGAGGGTGGCCTACCAAACACCCCCACACACTTCACCCTAGTGCGGCTCTTCCTTTTTTGCTCTCCACCCTCCTTTCACTTTCTGTTTTTCAGTTTTTTTGTTTGTTTTTTTGAGACAAGAGTCTCGCTATGTAGTTCAGGCTGGCCTGCAAGTCTGCAGCGATCCACCAACTTCAGCCTCCCAAGTGTTAGCATTACAGGCAAGTGCCAGCATGCCCAGTCCTCCTTCCACTTTCTATTGCTCTTGGGTCCCCCCTTTTTAATCCTCCCTATTTCCTTCTACCATCAGGGGGGAGCCCCGGGGTCAAAGTTGTGTCCTCACTTTTCTTCTTCTTCTTCTTTGGCCTCCGGCTCCTCATCAGATCTTTCCTCTTCACTCTGAGCTTCAGGCGTAGGCGGGCGGCGGGGCAGGATCTCCGCTTGAAGCTCCAGGGTACCGTGAGCGGCCAACAGTTCATAGAGCCGCTGGATTTCAGTGGGCGGAGGCATCCAGGCCTGCCCATCCGCAGGCAACTCCACCTCCTCATCGCTGCAGGGCACGCACCAGTCCTCCGAGTCTCCCTCCGCTTGCTCTTCCCTTCCAGCGCTGGAGGCTTCCCCTCTGGTTTCCTCGGTCCCCGATCCCTCACGCTCGGCCTTCTCCTGGCCTTCTCTCCCCTCTTCCTCGGTCTTACTGACCGAGACAGAGGGGACTCCGGCATCCTCCACCGCCAGAGCCTGGAGGCCAGAAGTCACTTCCCCTTCTTCAGATAGAGGCGCCGTTGTGGTGGCCGCAACGTCTCCATGACCCCGTGTAAGAGACATGGGCCACTAGGGACAGGGTCCAGCAATACCGGAAACCCTGGAGTACCAAGCCCAGGTGCCACGCCCCGCCCAGCGCACCCGGGATCCCCTAGGTTTTAGGAAATCCTCTGCAGCCAATCAAGTTCCAACAGCTGTCTTCGTGGCTAACGCGCCCGCCCCCTGGAGGGGGCGCTGGATCACCCTGCAGGGAAGGGCCCCGCCCCACAGGCTCCGAGCCGATATTCCAGGACCACTTTCCGAGCTGGGGCAGGCCCACTCTTCTCACCTTCACTCTGCCACACCCGGAACCAGCGCCCTCTACCCAAACCCCGCAGTTCTGGGCCACTTCAACTCTGCCGCCGTACGCACCTGGGGTTACGACCCGCCTCTCCCGCTGCGCGGGGTGACAGTACACAGGCGCACAGAAACGGCGCGGGCGGCTCCTCTCAAGTCAAAGCTACTTGGAAAAGGAAAGCGGGGAATGGCTTGCACATGCGCAGGTAGGCCCTCGGGCAGCTCAGGCTTCTGCCCACAGTAAAGATGGGTACCACGAAGGCGCATGCGTATAACTATCCAAGTCGGTTCTGCCAGGAGGCAGATGAACTGTGGGGCAGTCGGACGCAGGGAGCAACATGAGCCGAGTCTCATGCAGTCTCCGTTTATTGGTGTTTCAGACTCATGCAGCATCCAGCATACAAAGGGGAAATTCAGTTTTATATATCTTGTTTTAAAGGAATTTGTTTTCTCCCCAACTTTTTTTTTTAGAAAAAACTCTGCCAACTCCGAACTGCGTCGCAGCTGGCTCTCTGCCTCCTCAGTAGGCTGTCGCGCGCAACAAACCTCCCTGGTCCTCTTAGAAAATAATTATAGAGCCTCCCGTTAATGCGTCGCTCCCAGCAGCCGGGAGCTTAGATCTTTTTTTTCCTTTCTTTCTTTCTCTCTTTCATGAATGACCCGAGCTCCCCTTCCTGACACCTTCAAACAAGAAACTCTCTTAGTTAAAAGCTCAAGTGGGCGGGTCGGCGCTCACCGAACCTTCCACTGATCCTTCAGGCGCTGCGCCCCTCCCTCCTCCCTGGTGCGTTTAGAACCGGAACTCCCTAGCGTAAGTCCCCAAGAGAGGCTGGCTTGCCTCCTCTGCGACCCAACAGGCGCCTTGCAGGAAGGGGAGCAGAGGGTCCGGGCTCCCTGGGGAGAACATTCGGAGCCCCGAGCTAGGCAGCCCTCCAAGACACCACTCCACCTCCCAGAGCCTGATCTAAGTGCTGGGGTTCTTGCAGACCAAATGGTGCCAGGAAGGTGGAGAAGAGGATGCTAAGGGATGAGAAAGAGGCAGAATAAGGAAGGGGGATATGGAAAGGGTACAGATGATAAAGGGAAGGAGGAAAGGAATGGGTTAGATGCCAAGACAATGGAAGTTAGGAACAGGCCAGAGAAGAGAGACTGGAAGTGCAAGGAGGCTGGAAGAGATGCAGGGTGGCTGAGAACACGGAGAGTTTGGGAGATGTGCAGAGAGGTTTCCATAAGTGCAGGATTAGGGAAGCCAAGAGGCTGGAGGGGACATATCAACACACAAAAGTGCAGGAAGTTGAAAACAGTGCAGGGAGAAGGGAAGCCTAACGTTGGCAGAGGAGCCTGGCAGGATGCAGGAGCAGGAAAGAAGCTGTAAACAAGGCCGCTCAGGCTCCCTTGGTCCCTAGGCATGGGGGCCAGGGTCATCAATTGGGCTCCCCCCCATGGGAGGGATGGGCCCAAGGCAGCTCCCAACAGGAAGAAAAGTCTGGAATGCAGGGCAGAGCCCTCACTTATACACTGTGGGAGAGGAGACAGAAGGACAGACAGAGACAAGGGGGGGGGGGGACAAGAGAGACAAAGAAGTAGGGAGGACAGACAGGAGAGAGCAGGGGCAGGGGTTAGTAAAGCTGCCCTTGTCAACCCTTCCACTCCTCCCCTGCCTGTCCCAGACCCCCACTCACCGCCTAAGTTGATGACGCAGGAGGCAATGATGATGAGGACCCCCCCTACCAGTGCCACGATGCTTAAGAGCTTGGCCACTCGGCCTAGGCGCTGGGCCCCATCCACGTCTCCTTGCTGCAGGCTGTTCCGGGACTGGGGTTAGGGTGAAAGGTAACATGGCCCAGATCAGGAGAAGCCAGCCCAGCAGACATCAGGTGAAAGTCGTCCAGAGAAGAGGCCAGCCCATGGAGTTAAGGGAAGAAGGAGGACCGGCAAGGCAGAGTGAAGAGGGCACAGGTCAGTGAGGCTATGTAAACCAAGCCTCTCTATCCCTCCCACCTGAAGGGGTAGGACAGCAGCTGCTCAGAGGCTTAGGTCCTGGGGAGAAGCAAACGAAGGTCCTATAATTTAGGAAGTGGGTCCATGCAGAGAGGGAAGGGAAGGCTCAGTCACTCCTGGGGCTCTGACCTAGCATTGGCAGGAAGCAGCAAGCCACAGCAGACCTAGACCAGGGTCCCCTGAGGCTCACCATGACAGCATAAGCGAAGGCCACGATGTTGACAGGCCACATGGGGCAGAAGCAGGACAGGATAGCAAGGATGATGTAGTCCCGAGGTTTCTGGGTGCCTTCACCCCCCTCCACCCCAGGGCCTACCAACTGGGAGCTGGGGTGGCGGCTCAGACTACCTCGAGGAGATCCTGGATGCCCACTGGGAGCCCTTCCTATTCGGTCCTCCTCAACAAGCTGCTGTAGTACCCGGGGAGGAGCCCCATTCGCTGGGGAAGGTTTTGTTGAAGGGGGTGAGTGAGGTTGGGGGGCTGGGCCCTCCTCCCCATCACCAGCTTGCAGAGGGACCACTGCCCCATTTTCTTGTTTTTCCCCTACATTCTCGGTAAGGGTGGGGTCCTCATGGGTAGGGAGCTCTGGCTGGACAGGTTTGGGAGTGGGCTGGGAGGCTGGCTGAGGGTCTGACTGGGTGTCTAGCTTGGTAGCAGGCTCTGAGGCTGGCTCAGGTGGTGCTGCAGACTCCTGCTCTGACTCCTGGTCTGCAGTGGCCTCTTTGTTCACTGCTGGTTTGGACGCTGGCTCTTGGGATGCTTCTCCAGGGCTGGAGTTGGCCTTTGATTCCCCTCCTGGGTTTAAGCTAAGGTCTATAGCCTGGACTGTTTCTGGGGCTCCAGTTGGGGTCTCTGTGGTTTCTGGAGCCAGTCCAGCATTTGGCCCCAAGTCCACAGGGGCTGCAGTTGTGTCTGGGCCTGGCTGCAGAGCCTCTGGCTGGTCTGGGACCCCCGCTAGGACTGGAAGAGGACCAGTTCCAGCTTCAAAATTGCTATGCCCTTCTCCCTGGGTCTCAGGAATCTCTTCCACTCCCTTCATCTCAGAGACCTCAGAGGGGCTGGCTGCCATCTTGAGATGGGAGAGGGGAGAGGGCCCCTGTGGGGAGGAGGGAACAGCAGAGACAGTAGCAAATCCTGGAAGAGGAGAAGACAGATTTGGTGTAAGAGAGGAAAAGGGGCTCTCAGGACTGAGGCCCCACAGGACCAAGCTCCTGTCCTCAGGGCCAGCCTTGCGCTGTCTCTGAAGAAAGGAAGGAGAGTTAGGGTTTCCTTTGCCTTGGGGTTGGATATCTCTGAGGATAAGTGCTCTACTCAGTCTTTGCTTGGGGAGCCCCAAGAAGATAAATCCTCCCCCAGGATCTCTCCCTGGTGCACCCAACAAGATCCAGACTTTCAGATCCCAGCAGATGCCAGAGCACTTTCAAATCAACAAGCTGTACAGACGCCATACACCGAGACAAACAGACTAATCAGGGAACCCGATATACATACTCCACTGCCTCTGCATCTTCCCCTCCCTGGGCGCTCAGGCAGTGCGGGTTTTCTTGCTGCGCGTTTGGGGCGCTGACGCCCAAGCCCCTTCCTGAGGGTCCTGGACATCTGGTTAAGACCCTTCTCAGACCTCTTTCTCGGGGATTCCCTCGCCCTCAGCGGGCCAGCTCAGCTCTAGGGTGGCGGCGCGCCCAGCACCACCCTTCAACTTGCCCGGCTCCCGCATTCCTATACATTCCAGTCTGTTTGTCGGTCCCCTCCTACCCGTAGCCTCACCTCGACGCCTGCCTCTGGACGGCTCCAGTCGCCGCCGCCGTTGCAGCAGCCGCAGCCCGGGAGGGAGCGAGTCGGTGAGCACAGGAGGGAGGCGGCGGGTCCCCTCCTCTCCTCGCGCTCGCTCTTCCCCTTTCCTCCGGTCCCCTCCCCTGCGCTCTGCTGCCGCTGTGCGCCACCCCCGCCCCTCGCACGCCTCCAGCCCCTCCCGGCCAGCCTGAGGAGCCACGCGTGCCAGGCCCCGCGTTACCCAGGCAACAGCCCGGGGACCACTGTCGCCCCTCCCTGCTTCTACCCTCGTGAGCCTCCCGAGGGGGCGCCCCCTTCCTAGGTCCTCAGCCCCTCCCGCCAACGGTCATCAGGGGTCCAGGGCAGAGACCCGGGTCTGAGAGGAGACAAGACCAGGGCCAAAGCAAGACTGGACGGTGGCGCCCCTACAGCAGAGGGGAAGGGAGATGGGGCCCAACTTGGGGAGGCTGCAGAGGAGCAAGGTGGGGCCTCAAGACAAGAGAGCCTGCAGAATAGGAAGTTTTCCAACTGAAATGAGCACTGGCAGACTCTGGAAAAGGAGCCTGGAAAGAACAGAGCACGGCAGAGGCTTCAGGGACAGCAGGAGGGTTGAGTTTATGAGTTGTGTAAACGCGGGGCACTATGCCCAGAACTAGTTAGGTCCAAGTTATTGTTACTCTTCTGTGTGGGGTCTGTTTCCCTTAAACCTTCTGAACTACACCTTCCAGGGCCTGCTTTAAGGGTATGCAGGTGTTTGGCTGGGGTGTGAGCAGCAGGCAGTAGTTATGGCCAGAGAAGAGCAGGGCATCCCTGCGAATGTCTGGCCCTCTAACTCTTGCCTCTTCAAACCTCTAGCGGGTGGGTGGGTGGGTGTGTGTGTATAGGCGGGCCCAGTCTGGGTATTCCCCTATAGACCTAGGTGTGCCTTCCAAAGCCACAGCAGCCGTGCCCCACCCTAAATCTCTGCTGCAGCCTCTGAAGCTGCCCCTGGGGAGGGAGGAGCTAAAGTCCCAGAGCTCACAGAGCAGGGCAAGATTGGGACACCAAACAGAACAGAGAAACCCCCTGGGAAAAGGAAACGGGATCTTGGTAAGGGTAAATCATTGAATCCAGAGCCAGAGCCAGGTTTTTATTTAAAATTTATTGTAATGGGGTCCGCGCAAAAGGGGGTACAGGGCAGGGAACATGCAGGGGACACAGGAACACGATGACATGGCCAGGGCCACAGCTTCTGTCATGGGGAAAAAGGATGAAAAGAAAAGACCAGGGCTGGAGCTGGGGTGGAAGAGGGAAAGGTGAGACACTGTGGCTGCATTTCCCTGGCCCCCAGGAAGCACCTCTAGTCCCTGGTTCCACTCCTTTACCCTGGCCCCCTAAGATTCCATCTCCTATTCTGCCTCTGGCCCTAGTGGCTCCTCCTGTTGATCCCCTTGATTTTTTCCCCCAACGGATTCTCAAATAGGATGATGTTTAGGGCCTAACCCCAACAACCCTATCTTATGAAGACATAACCTCCACCTTCCCTGCTTCTGTCCCTTCTCAAATCTCAAAATTCTCCCTCTTTTGGACAGAATCTTTTGATTCCTCTCCTTCCTCTCCCTCCCCCTGGAAAAAAAAGCACCAACTCCCCAGGGAGGGGCAGCAGACAGCAGGGGGAGAGGACTGAAAGGAGGGGAACAAGGACCACTGGAGAAGGCTCACGAATCCCTGGGAGGGCAGGGGGTTACAGGGAGGAGAGGAGATAAGGGCAGTGGTGGCTCCTATCCTCTGATACCCCTGCCCACTGTCCATGGGACTTTAACACAACTGAGGGAACAGGTGTGTGTGTATAGGGTCAGCTCTGATAGGGAGAAGAGAGGAACAGGAGAAACAAATTGTTGAAAACCTAGTGAATTCTCCTAAGAATGCATTTCTTCCTCCTCTCTTGGAGGCTCCTTGGTTGGAGGGGACTAGTGAGGAGTTGGCAGGGAGAGAGGGGGAGAGAAGACTGTACCAAAGGGCTTTCCTCCACTCTCTCCTCTCCCCCCACCAACTTAGAGCTCACCAGGGCTGGGAGGGAAGTGGCTGAGAGCTCACTGGTACTCCCTCAGCCCCAGAGAGGGAGCCTACAGCTGTCGGAGGGGCTGCCACTGCTGCTGCTGCTGCTGCTGCTGCTGCTGCTGCTGCTGCCGCCGCCGCCATTGGACAAACCTCACCAGTGCCTGCACAGTGAGAAATACCAGGATCACAGCGCAACCTGAATGGCAAAAGCCATTAACCCCTTTGCCCCAGACTACCTCCCCGGGACACAGCCGTTGCTCACTTCCTATCAGGTCCCCAAGCTTTAGCCTGCCTCCTTATCTAGACAAGAGGGGTTCTCCTGATGGGCTCTCCCTGGCCCCCAAAACTCCCTGACCTGAGCAAAAGACGGGTATCCCTGACCTTCCTGAGATCCCCTAGTGGGCCCTTTGACACCCATGTCCCACACACCCCATCCTGCCCCCCCAGCCATGCCCCACGCCTTGCCTGGTGGGTGCGGGGGTCCCCCTCAGCAGGTGGGCTGTGGCTGGGGGGCATCTCCTGGGACAGGGGGTGCGGCCCCCCCCAGATGGGTCTGCATGTGGCCGGCCAGCTGGGCAGGGGTCTTGCAGTGCACGCTGCACAGCTTGCACAGGATGCGGTCAGCCCGCGGGGCCTGGAGCCCATGGTCCTTCACCGCGTGGATGCGCAGGTATGCTGCTGTGGTGAAGCCTATGGGGGGGGGGATTGGATTGGGATTGGGGAATGGGGTCAGCCAGGTGGAGACCCCAGAGACGGGGCTGTTCTCCTAGGCTGGGGACACCCTCCTCAGATGACCCTGTCCTCCTCCCACGTCCTGTAGCCTGGGGCCAGCTACCCTGTTGGGGCACAGCACCCCCCAACTTGGGACCAGTTTGGGTGGTATCCGTTCCTCAGGCTTTGGCATCTACAGAGATCATTCTTCATGGCCAGGAGATTCCTAGCTACCTGAAGGGTACTCTCAGAAGACACGGCTGTGTCCCACCTCCTCCAGTGCCCCACAATCTCAGCGCAGTTTACTCATTGAGTTTTTTTATTGGGGCAGGGTGTGTTTCTTAAATTCCTGCCATCATACTCTACTTGCCCCAGGAGCTGGAAACAAGAACTTGTGGCTGCACAGCTGAAACCTTGCCTTCTGACCCTTAGGGACTGGCACTCTGGACTACCCCTTTCCCAAAGCATCCATACCCCATTTCGTTCTCCCCAGAGACATCTAGGAGATTGGTTCTTTCAGGTAGGTCATCTCCAGCCACAGCATTTTATAATTTAATAATTATTTAGTTATCCCCGGTGCTACTTTGCTTCCTAAAGGGCTCTAAATGCCACGAGCTCTTGGCTACAGCACCCTTAACCCACATCTGTAGAAAGATCACCACTGTGTGCCCCCCAATCCTTAGCCCTCCTGGCATCTCTCAGCATGTACCTTTGTTGCAGAGCTCACAGACATGATGAGGGCCCTGGCTGTGCACCTTCATGTGGTCCGAAATATAAGCTGAGCTCAGCATCTTGCCACACACGTGACATGGCACCTTCTCCTCGTGTCGTACTGTGTGTGCTCGGAGTCGATCCTTCGTAGCAAAAGCTGCCTCACATTTCTGGGGAGGGGGGAGGGGCGTGGGGGGTGTCACAGGAGAGTTAAAGCTTCCAGGAGTGGGGAGAAGGGAGCAAGAGGTTAAAGGAATCAGAGCCTTGGGGATCTTTGATCTGTAGGAAATGGGAGTGAGATGAGGCCTTGAAGAAGAAATGAGAAAATGGAGTGAAAAGGCAAAAAGAAGAGAGAGAAAAAGGGGATCTGAGAGGCTGAACTTAGACAGCTACAATGAGGATCAAAATCATGAAAACCAGGACAGGAGGAGGCGGGCTTCCTACCTCACATTTGAAGGGCCGCTCTGTTGAGTGCACTTGTCTGACGTGACTGTTGAGGTGATCCGGCCTGGGGACACGTTGGGGTGGGGGGTTAGGGCTGGGGTTGTGTGCCCCAAATCTGCTCGGCTTTCTACAACAGGCCTTTGGGATTTTCTCCTGAAGCTTCATGGTTCTACTCCGGCAGGAAATCCCTCCCCTCAAACCGGGCTTCCTCCTCCTCCCACCCACAGGCCCACCTCCTTCGCAGAGGACCACCCCTTGCTCCCTGGTAACCGGGAGAGGCTCTCTCCCTCCTCCCTGGGAGTGGCTCCCCTTCCCCAGCGTCAGGAGCCGCCTCCCTCCCATCAGGCGAGGCCAGGCCACCTCTGCTGCCGCCCCTCCCTCCCCACCGGCCTAGCGGCGGCCGAGGCCCCTGCACACCGGGAGAAGCTCTTGCCACAGTGGGAGCAGTTGTAGGGCTTGTGCACAGCGCCGTCATGTGAGCGCACGTGGTAGCTCATGCGGTCCTTGCGCTTGAAGCGCTGCTGGCACACGGGGCACTGGTAGGGCTTCTCGTCCGAGTGCGACAGCTTGTGTCGGTTCAGGTGGTAGACGTCTCGGAAGGCCTTGCCGCACATCTCGCAGGCGTGGTTCTTCCGGATGCGCTTCCCGGAGGCGGTCGTGGTCACTACGCCACCGGCAGCCACTGCGGCCGTGCCGCCGCCGGCGGCCGCCTCGCCCCCGCCCCCGCCGGCCCCACTCAGCTGGGGCACGCTCAGGAGGCTCAGGGGCACCATGGTGGGCATCTTCATAGCACCCGAGGGAACTCGGCCGGCCTTTGCTCCCGTGTGGATGGCTTCGTGCCTCCGGAGGTTGTAGCCGTTCTTGAACTCCTTGGCACACAGGGCGCAGATATAGGGCCCCTTGCTCTTTGTCTTCTTCTCCAAGGCGGTAGCAACAGGGGCCACGGCGACCGTCGAGGTGGGGGCAACGACGGCGGTGGCGGCGATGGTGGCGGCAGCGGCAGGGGGCGCGGCCTCGGCGGGGGGCGCCGATACGGGCGGGGGCGGCGGAGGGGGCGCCGAGGGCTGCTTTAGGGCCGCTGTGTCCACCGTGGAGGCGGCGGCAGGCGCCGGGGGGGCGGTCACCGCGGCAGCAGCGGCGGCGGCGGCAGCAGCAGCGGCGGCAGCGGACTCCTGCGCGGCGGCAAGCACCGGGAGTAGGTCCACCTGGAGCGGCTCGGCGGCCGGGGCCGGGGGCGCGGGAGGCGGTGCGGGCGCGGCCTGCGGGGACAGCGCGTTGGGCCGGGCCGCGAGTCGGTGCCCTCCCGCCCGGCGCGGCCCAGCCCAGCCTACTCACCTGGAATGGGCTCTGGGCGCAGCCCTGCGAGGCGAAGAAGCGGGACTGGAGCTCAGCCCCGACCTGCAGGGGGTTCTGGGCGTGACCCTGAGGTGGCGGGAAGGAGTTCATGAGGCCGCCCACCCCCCGGGAGTCCAGGCCCAGCACGGGGAAGGGGGGGGCCAGCAGCGTGCACGGGAACACGGGGAACATGGCCACGGCCGCGCGGGGCCCGGGGCTCAGCGGGGGCCGGGGGCGCGGGCCGCGCGGGGCCCGGGCTCGGGGAGCCGCCCCCGGCCGGCCGGGCTGGGCCGCGCCGCATGCATGGCCCGCGGGCCGCCCCGCCGCCGCGCACCCCGGCCGGCGGGAGGGAGGGAGGGCGAGCAGGAACGAAGGTGGGAGGGCGCCTTGCAGGCCGCGGAGCGCGGCAGAGGCGGCGACGCCCCCCAGGTGGGGGCGGGAGGCCCCGCGGGGCCGGGGCCGGGGCCGGGCCGGGGGCGGGGGCCTGGCGGCGGGGCGGCGGCAGCGGCGGCGGTTGGAGCCCGGCGGGGCGGGGTGGGGGGAGCGAGGGAGCAGCCTCGGCCCCCGCCGCGCGCGCGCCTAGCCGGCGCCTCGGGGAGGGCGGGGGAGGGCGCGAGGGAGGGGGACAGCTGCGCGCGCACCGGGCGCGTGGAGGGGGGGTGGGACGGACGGGGGGGGATTGAAAGGGGGGTGGGGCGGGGGGAGGGGGTTGTTACCTGGAAGATGAAGCTGCTCCAGTTGCTGGGATCCATGGCGGAGGGAGGGAGGGAGGTGGCTCGCGCTCACCCTGGGGCGGGAGGCGGAGGAGGCGACAGTGGGGGAGGGGGCCCAGGGAGGAGTTGCACAGGGCGGGCAAACGGGAGGGGGGAGGAGGAGGAGGTTGGAGGAAGCGGAGCACGCTGCACTCGGGGAGGGAGGGCGGGGGGCGCGAGGACACAGTGGAGGCTGGAGCGAGCGAGAGCGCGAGCGCGCGCAAGACCAGCGGGAGGAGGCAGGCGCGGGAGGGACCTGTAGGGAGGAGGGCCGGGGGAGCCACCCAGCAGCCTGAGTCGCCCCAAGCGCGAGACCCCTGAGACGGCTGCTGATTGGCCGACGATGGCGCAGGTGGTGGGCGCGCGAGACGGGTGGCTTGTCTTCACCCCCCCTTCAACAATTCACCCCCACCTCCCTTTGCAGTGGCCGTTACTTCGCGCGCACGCGCATACACTGCTGTCCCTGCTGAGCGGGAGAATTAGGGAACGCGCGCTGGGGGCACGGTTGGGGCGGGGCGAAAATCAAAGCGCGCGCCCGTCTAACGGTCGTCGTAGTCCTAGCTCTTTTGATTCAGGTTTTTGTTACCTCTCAGCCACCGTCTTTTCCCCTCCCCACTCCAGCGGTTTATTTACCATCTTGCGCGGGTTCATGGCTTCCCAAAGATGGCGCTCAAAGAAGTTTGCCGGTACTGCTTTCGACAAACCCCAATGGCAATTATACCTCTGGTCCCGCCCCCACTGCCCCAAAAATCAGGCTGAAGACGGGAGTAATAACTGTATTACACAGCAGGTTATACAAGGGTTAAAAAAATAGACGTGAGGAGACAGCATTCAGGAGGGGCCAGAGCATTGGCCGGCAGCCAGGCCCAGGATGTTCGCCTGCAAGAGGGGAAAAAGGGAAGCAGTGTTAGGGGTGTGAGCGGCCGCGCCGCGGGCTCAGAAGAGGGGCTGCGTGACCTGACCTTCAGGAACGAAGCCATCTGCTTGGCGGAGATGCCATCGACGCGCTCCAGATCCTCCACCTGGGAGGACAGTGGCGGTGGGAAGGGGCCTGGGGCTGGCGTCGGCACCGCCCCCCCCCCCCCCCCCGGTCCTCCCCAGAGGCCCTACCTGGCTGAAGGGGCCATGGAGCTCCCTCCAGCCCACGATGAGCTGGGCCTTCTTCTGGCCAATGCGCTGCAGGCTGCGTAGATCCCGGGCGGAACCTTCATTAAGAAGATCCAGTATTTTTTGGCGCCCGTGGGCCAGTAGCTCAGGGCTGATCTCCAGCTCCCAGCAGTCCTGAGGCGGTTTCTGAGACTCTGAGGTGTCCAAGGACTTCAGCTGTGAGGCAAGGGGGAGTGAGTGGCAGAAACGGGGCAGAGTGCTTTTAACTCCTCTGCCAAGACTAGGAGCCTCGCTGCAGTACCTCCCCACCCTCTCCAGCTTCTTCCCTTCTGTCAAATGACTAAGAATTCCTTCCCCCTGATTACCCTCCTTGCTACCATTCATTGAATCTGACTTTAGAGGGATGCTAGTTAATCCAGTTCTCAGCAATGCCTTTGACAATTTAATGAATTGAGTGTAAAGCATAAAGCAAGCTCTTGATCTTGCAGGGGATGTAGTTAAGTGGTACCAGTATGAAATGAAGCCTTTGGTTTGACTCCCAGGACCCAGAGTGGAAGTGTCTCAGCAAGAAAGCATGAGAAAGCAATAAGTAATATACACATACACACACACCCTCAGTTTAGGGTAAATTCTAGTGTTATATTTTTTAGTGTGTAAATATTGCATGTGTATGTTGAGATTCTTGCAGTGCTTAGATCATATTTCCCCTAAATTTGTAAAGGACAGGACCCAAGCTCCACATTGCATCCTGTCAGAAGGTCCTGACTGAGGACAGGAGCCATCAGGAAGAAAGGACACTGACAGACAGTGGATACCTACTCTGAGATAGCTGTATCAATATATTTCATCCTAAATACTCTTCAAAGTATCAGGCATTAGTTAGGTCAGGTATATTCAAAGTCAGTCTCTTCCCCTAGACCTTACCTCTTCTAGGCTTAAGGTTTAGCTTAAGTTTCAGCTATTCTCACCTTTCTCTTCCGCCCTTTCTTCTTCAGGATATGGATCTTAGCATGTGGAGATGCTGTCTGCTCCTGAACTGAGACCAAGCATTGAGAACTGGGGTCAGGGCAGAATCCACTTTGCCTCCCTGATAACCACTTTATTTTCACATTTCTGATTCTTTGGTTCCCCTCTAATCATTATGTTTCCACTGATCTTTCTTATACCTGTATGGTATGGTCTTGTATTAAAATAACACACTTGTCCATCTTCCCCATTGTACTAAACACTTTAGGGCAGTACTGTGAACATATGGCATGTATGCTGCATCAGGCACACAGAGCCATCTCCCCAGTATCACCCCAGTAGCTGAGCATTCAAGTTTAACTGCAGTGTTGGCACTTTGCAATTAAGTGGGTTTTGGGTTGCAGTTTGGGGGTGTGGGGTCTCAAAAAGGTTTGTCACCACTATTCTGGGGCAAGGCATCTTGTACTGCTTTAGATCCTTCTCAGCCCTCCCTGGGGCTGTCTTAGGCAAGAGAACAGTTGTTCAAACTCATATACCCTCGTGGGACCTGCATTTTCTGCATCATCTTGGCCTCTGGAAGTAAACTTACTCAGTTGTAAGGGCATCACCACAGCCTTTTTCAGGGGTTTTGCTTCTATGACTGTGCGGCGGGAAAGAGGGCGAAGCAATGAGAGAGAGTTCTCTTTCTCCTCTTCCTCTGTTGTCTCTTGGGCCAGTACCTTGGCCTCCAGCTCTTTCTGCTTCATTTTAAGTCTCTGTTGGAAACAAGGAGAAATGTGACCTAAGCCCAACATTAGGGCAGCAAACTAGGAAGATAAATAGGCAGAGTTGAAGCCCAAGAAGAACAACTAGGGCTGGGGGTTCAGTGTGTAAGTGCCTGCTTGGCAAACTTGAGGTCATGAGTTCAATCCCTGGGACCAAAAAATAAGACAGTACTAGAACCAATGGGAGAAGCTACCAGAAGACAGGTAAAGCCCAAAACAAGGGTCTTCTAATAATCAGTGGCTACCCAGAAATCAAACAAGCCTCTTTGGAAATATGAAGTCAAAGACTGAGAAAGCTGGGTCCTTAATGTGAACTGAAATTTAGGAAATTAAAATGGTTTTTTTGGAATTTTCTTCCACCTCTTTTCATCTGATGTCAATTATATTTCAAAGCTGAGCCATGTTAAGGACACTTGAACAGAAGCCAAAAAATTTCTTGTCCAACCTGAATACCCTCCCACCTGAGGATCTTAGGATTGCTCCTTAAAGCCTGTGAAATCGTGGCTGTTTCTTCCAACACTTACTTGAATCTCCATGTCCTTCTCTTCTACAGTCTTCAGGAGCACCATTCGCTCTCGTTTGGGGGTATTCAGCAGAGGGATCCCTTGGCTCCCCTGGGAGCCCAGCATGCGGTCCAAGCTCAAGAGGCGGTCCAGCATGGCTGGGTCCATGTTGCTTAGCTTCTGCAAGGGACTGCTCAAAGTAGTTAATCCCCACCACCCCCTTCTCAGCACCACCTCCAGCAGCAGTAGTCCCCTTGTCATCCCTTAACCTGGTATATGTATCATAAGGATCCATAATCCTGAGGTGAACTTGCTGAACACAGTGTCCTTATCAAGTGAAGTAACTTCTTGGGGATGCCAGAGCATCAGCCAAGAACAAGCATTTAATGAGCACCTGAGGAAAAGGACTAGGAATCTACAAAATGGAGGCATTCACTGCCTAATAAGCCAAATAAAAAACCATAATAGGGTGACAGAGCTTGGGGTCTGGCTCTTTCAAAAAGCAGTTGGAAAGAGACACAGAGGTCATCTTTAGCAGGGCTGACAGCCACTGAAGCCTCAAAAACCAAGACTTTATCCTGAGAGCAGGAAGGGCTTATTCACATAGTGTTGGCTATCTAATAGTCCTGACTGGAACTTTTCCTCTCACGTTTTACATTAATTATGTTTAAGTCAGTTTAATGCCATCTTTCACATGAGGCCCAGCTTAACTGAGCATTTCTTTGGTACATTGTCAACTGGCTCCTTGAGGGTAGGGCCTACGTCCTATTCTTTATGTGAAAACACTCAAGAGAACAGTATGGGAAAAATGGAGCAAACACTAGATGTCATTTTTTCCTGCTTGGCTTTCATAGAACAAGCAGTTCTCCTTATTCTCTGTACTGTGTACCTATACTTGGCCTCATAGATCTGTCTAGGTCTGGACATGGCCCATCTCTGACCCTTACCTTGCCCAGAATTCCTATCAGGCAGTTTCCTGCTCACACATGTACATATGTGAAAGTTTCAATTTGTGCACAGAGAAGAGGGGACTATGAACAGATGGCTTAAGAAAGACAAGACTGAGAGATGATGGCTCCATGACTGAGCAAGTCTTTGTAATGTCTTTTTCAACTGTAACAGCATCTTGAGGTAGAATATGCAGTGACCATTGGCCTGGGTCGTCTCTGTTCAGTATTTACATAGTTTAAAAAGGCTTTATTTGGACAAAGGATAGAAGCAGGCAGTTAGAGCCACAACTGGCTGTTTGACTCAGGGAGGATCCAGTGGCCAAAGAGAATACAAGGCCACTGGACAGAGGTAACCCTCATGAGGATTAGTGCAGGGCAGAAGATAGCTTCAACTGAACTGGTGGAAGGCCACACATAAAAGAGACTTAGACTTTGATGGAACTGAGAATAGAAGCAAAGTAACATTAGGATGACAACTGACTCCTCAGATTCCCAGAGGCTGGTCCCAAACACACAGATGGAGAAGTCTTGGTGAGACATTCTTCACCGTATCCTAGCCTCCTTTGCTTTGCTCTTGTCCCCTGGACCTGATGACTCTCAAGTCAGAAGCACAACTGCTCATCCTTGAAACAGCTGCCTCAAAATGTGAGGTTTTGCTGACACATAAAAGGGACTAAAAAATGAGAGGGCCAGGAGCCCCAGAAACAAACCTCTTGAGGTCCCCAACGCAGTAACAATGAGGATAGCAGCAGTAGGAACAAGTTCATCATCTCTGGCACTAACCTACACTCAGCACAGAAGAGGGTTCACCCAAGGCCCACCACTCACCTGAATCCCTGGGAGGCAGGGGCTGGAGCTGCTACAGGCTCAGGGCTCCTAGTTTCCTCTTCCTCAGAGCCTCGGGCTCTCTTTGCCTCAGATGGACCTAGCAGTTCTTTCTGAGACAGCTTAACAGGTGGCAAGACTAGGAAAATATTGAGTTGTAAGGGGGAGATGGGATGTGGTCAGCCATTTTACTGACATTTGCCTCCCCTAGTTCTCACCGTGAAGCTGCAGGCGCTCATTGGTGAAAGGCCGGTTGATGATCTCCTTTGACCTAGCAGCAAAGTTAAGTGCAGAGACCGTATCTAGATAAAAACGTCTCTCAGGAGCAATGTTGGCGATGAGGATGCTATGGGCTGAGCCACCCAGAGAGTCCTGAGGGTGGAAACTGGAGTGAGTAGGTCAGAATCTCAGCCTCCTCATTCTTTACCTGCTACTCCCCAGGCCCCAGCAAGCCTAACAACATCCTTCTCCAGTCCCTTTTACCCTAACACAGATGAACCTAACCTGTAGTAGGCGGGTGAGCTTGCTATCCCGATACGGCACACGAGGGAGGCCCTGGTTCAGTGCATCCACCACCTTGCCCAAGACAAAGAGGGAGGTGTTGATGGCTCCACTCTCTTTGAGCCGGAGGCCCTGGTTGCCTGTACGCCGGTTGTCCTCTGATCCAGCCAAGTCAATCAGGTAGAGTTTTCCCTCCCGCTGCCGAAATGGGGCCACACGTTCCCGCTGATCCACCTAGGGGAAAAGCAAGCATCCCAGGCTTAGCTCAGGCTCCAGGGGCTTCCTGGGTCCTCACCTCTGTCAATGGGCCTAACCTTGACCAGGAGCACTGCATGACTGCGAGAGGAGCGCTGGTTGAGCCGAGTGGCTCCTACAGTCCGATTTCCACTGGCTGGCAGGAAGTAGCGCTCAAAATCAGTGAAGCTACTGATGGGCTTTTGCGTGAGGCCTGGAATCAGGATATTTCCCCGACAGTCTTCTCGAATCACCAGGTCTCCTGATGCAGGGTCCAAGAGGTCTAATACCTGTTTGAGTAGTGACAGGTAAGGCACATTTTCCATGCTTGGGATTAGTCTTTCCTCTGTTAAGATTCTCAGAGTTGTACTGTATACCATCCCAACCTGTCTCTAGCTCTCACTTCACCTTACTAGATCAGAGCTTCATGTTCTAGAACTTTCTTCCACTGACCTTTTATTTCTTCCCTCCCTAACTTCAGACAGGTCTCACCTTTTCCTGGTAAATCTCTAAGTAGGACATAGTGACAGAAAGGGCCCATGGCCGGCCCTCAGCACCCTCCTCTCTTGTGAGCTGCAGGAGGTCCACAAGTGCCCGGGGAATCACTCCAGGTTGCTCTGGGCTGCCCAGCATTGTATGTGTCTTCCCTGGGGAAAGAATGAAGAAAGCTGTGAGGTTATCCTCTCCATCTCCCTAGTCTTCCTGACCCATAACTACTCCATTTTAGCTCCCTCACCTGCTCCTGTAGGCCCGTAGGCAAGTACACTGGAATTCTGCCCTTCCAGGAGGTGCCTCAGGATGGGCTGCACTGAACCTACATAGATGTCCTGCTGAGAGCTCCTCTCCCCATAGAAAGCATCAAACCTGTAGGGGGAGAGAAGGGAGAAGAGCATTAGTAGGGGGTTGTGCTGACACCCAGACCTAGCAGACACTGGTTTCAGATTTAAAACATCCAGATTTAATGCTGTTTGAAGACTTTAAAAGGATCCACTGAACACCTATTCTGTCTCAGTGTCTATACTGATGGTACGAAAGCAGAAATGAAACTAATGTTGCTGCTCTTGGGGGTTTTGTAATTAGGTAAGACAGACCAGTATCTGTACTTTGCTGTGATTCAGGAAACAAAGATAACACAGTAGAAATAACTGGTTCTGCTAGAGGAAGAGATTTTGTAGACAAGAAGGGAAAAGAAGAGAGAGAAAAAGAGAAGGAAGGAAGGAAGGAAGGAAGTTCTGTGTATCAAGAATAGCACATAGATATGCTTTAATTTTGTAACAAACAACTATTTCTAAGATAACAATATGTAATCTATTAACTAGTGATTTCCTGTTTATTTTTTTCTGAAATTCTGTATAACTTGTACCCTTTTTGTTTTGTTTTTTTTTCTTTTTCTTTTTCTCCTTAGATAAAATCTAAAAAAAAAAAGAATAGCACATAGAAGCCAGGAGTGGTGGTGAATGCCTGTAATCCAAGTCTTCAGGAGGCTGAGGGAAGAGGATCGCCAAGAATTCAAGACCAACCTTAACTACTAGTGAGACTATACAAAAAAAAAAAAAAACCAAACATGTAGAGAAGACATGGTGAATAAAGGCTTCCCATTTTCCACATAGCAGCATATACAGAGTAGTATATGTACACCACTGTGGGTTAGATGAAAAGGTACTACTTATGCCTGTGCTAGACACAGCATACCTATAGCCTATTCCCTGTATTCTGAAAGACAGGCTGTGGCTTAGGCTGTAGCAGGGAACATAATATATGTTAGTAGGATAAAGCTGAAAAGTAACTCAAATTGATAGGTATGGTGACACATGCCTGTAATCCCAGCATTCAGGAGGCTGAGGCAGGAGGATCACTGCAAGGTTGAGGCTAGCCTGGGCTACACAGTGAGTCCAAGACCAACCTACACTACTTAGCAAAACCCTGTCTCAAAACAAACCAAACCAGAAACTGAAGCCAAAGTATTAAAGGTCTAGATGGAGCCAGCAAATTTTCTGTAAAGAGCCAAATAGTAAAATATTTTGGGCTCGGGGCTGGGAATTTAGCTCAGCGGCATAAGCGCCTGCCTTGCAAGCAGGCAGTCGTGAGTTTGATCCCTGGTACCGATAAAAAGGAAAAAGACCAAAAAAAAAAAATTTTGGGCTTTGTAGGCCATGTGGTTCCTTTCACAACTACTTAACTCTCTCACAGTAGTCCCAAGTAGCTATGGGCAATAAGTAAATAAGTGATAAAACCATTTACAAAGACTCCTGATCTGATTTGACAAGCTGTGGTTTATTACTCCTTAGCCTAAAATAACAGGCCAATGAGACTGAATTTAAATTCTCAGTGGAATTTGCAATTAGTTGTCCTTATGAGTTCTAGTCCCCAAATCTGGGTGGTCTTCTGGGATACTACCCAGCTCAGCTGGGTTGGCAGGCTGGTCTGTATTCACCCACCTTTTCCACATCATGGGACCATGGGGGGGCTCTCCCTGCTCCTGTCTGCTGTTCCTTCCTCCATTCATGCCAATATCCTCCATAAAACTGAACAATAATGTGTCTGATTCAGCTTTAGTCCTTCCCCAAAGGACCAGTCACACTGGGCACCCATAGACATCTCCTAAATAAACAAATGAACGTTTGGTAAACAATCCTAAAGAGGGAGCAGAATGCTAGGGCAGCAGATCTGAAAAGCCACCTGGGCCAGTGATGATGTAAACATGCCAAAGAGAGGTAGTGGCCAGAATCTTACTGGTATTTGAGCGTCTCCTGGTAGTTCCTCCAGTTGGCAACCTCAAGAGAGCAGCTGTCTATAGCCCGTACACAGGAGAGTTCACTTGCTCCAGGTGTTTCATCCAAAAATGGTCGCAGTCGCACAGCCACCCTTACCCGAGCTGGAGGAGGTCGTCGGCCAGCTCCTCCCTTGTTTAGACGACAGCGACCAGCTCCTGGAGAGAGATTTTGGATGTGAAGTATGGTGGTAGCATAGGAAGGCAAAACTTTGTGAGAAGGCTCAGAGAGCTCACTTAGGGTAAAATTCTTTCCACCCAGGCTGTGCTATGGGCGCCTCCCAAGCTCAACCCTGGCCCCTTCCCCACTCTGCAAGTGTAAAATCCCTTGCAGCACCCAATGGGCTAACATCTGCTCAAGATGACTTTGCACAGAAAACTGCTGACCCTGAGGAGCTGAAACATCTTGAAAACAAGGTATTCTACCAGTTTGGGCAGAGCCTTACCAGTGAAACATGGTGGAACATCCTGGGAACAATCTGATAAAGTTTACAATTCGGGATACTGTCATCATGGCTTTCTAATCTAAAACATGCACCCATGTTCAGAACGCACAGCCTTTGTTAGTTTCTTAATAAAACTGGGAGGTTAAGGTCAGTCCAAGGCTTCATTCCAGTGAAGCCCCTGACTTCTCCACAAAGATACTCTCTGTCACGCATGTAGGTCCACTGAAGTGTACAGATGTCTCAAACTGTAATACAGATAATCTGGAAGATCTTGTTAAAATTCAGATTCAGCTTAGTTCCTGGAGTGATGGCTGAGATTCTCTGACAAGTTCCCAGATGCTGCTGCTGGTAAGGCTTGTTTTGACTTGCCAAGGTATATTAGATCAGCACTTACAAAGTTGTTCTCAGGATTAAAAGACTGACATCTAATTCCACCTGATGTCAGATATGAATTGGAACTTTTTGGAGGGGATGGTTGAGACAGGGTCATATCATGTCGTTTGGGCTGGCCTTGAATTCACAGTGTTCCTCCTGTCTCAACCTCCCAAGTACTGGGATTACAGGTGTGTGCCACTAGGCTCAGCAGATATGACCTGCCTGACTTAGTGCCTCCATTTCTTTCCTGAGGTTTGTAACTCAGATTTAAATGTAAATATGGGTCCACCACCTCCGCCAAATTGCTGTTTTTTCTCTTCATGGAGGATATATGGGCTTATTTTTTATATTACTCAATTCCATAATGCTGTAATGTTTGTATTTTTAAAAAACAGTCACACTACGAGTGGACATCATAGGAAGAATCAGGTTGAGGAGCAGCTCCCAGCCCTTTTCTGTCCCAGCTTAGTTCTGCAAAAGGCACTAACATACAATTCTGTCTCGTAAGCTTTTCATTTAGCTTGCTTCTGATGACCAAATCTAAGGCATTTGAAAAAAATGACAACTATGAAATATTTTTATCATCAAAAATCTAAAAAGGATTCTATTTTTGTCAGGATTAAGAGTTGGAAAACAAACCTTAGGAGGAGGTATTACTCTACTTTACCTTGGAAGAAAGCATATTAAAGCTCACAGCTAATAGAATTAAATCTAAATCTCTTCACTCCCAAATCTGTTTTTCACAAGGATGCCATATAAACTCCCTTTTATGTGCCAATTGAGAATGCTCGTGGCAGCTCTTCTCCTTGCCAGTGGTAGCAGCTGGTTACCAGGAGCCAGAGGCCTTAATAGAAAGGAAAAGAAAAAAAAGGGGGGGGGGGTGATATAATAGAAACAGCAAGATGAAAAGGCAGATAGATTATCCTTGGAAAGAATCCTACATGTAAGTAAAGCATGTACCTAAGCAGATGGTCTGTTTCAAAAACTGAACCTCTGTTCACCTGACACATGGGGCCAGTATCACCATTTCTTATTTATGGTTTACAAGGCACTTGGATACCTAGTTCTCATTTGTTCTTCATGGGCATCCTAAAAGTTAGGAGCAACACTTGCACATGCATGTGTGCAGATGAAAAAGAAATGCAAAAGATTTCACTGATTCTTCAAACACTGTCTCCTATGCTTTACTTTTTCAGGGTTTTTTGAGAGAAAAAAAGAAAGAAAACATACACAAGTACTTATGGCAACTCAGTAATCAATAGCTAGGGAAGGGAAGCAGTGTAGGCTCAGGCCAGATGGCTGGATTTAAATACCAGCTCTGACATTTATTGACCTGGGGGCATGACTTAGCATTCATGCATCTTGGTTTTCTGGTCTGTAAAATGGGGTGGGTAGGGTAGGTCTTGGAGTGCTTCATAAGAATTTAAAAAATAGGTAAAATACCGTGTGACTAGCACATGGTTGGTAGATTCATTATTCAAAGTAAGGTGACCTGTGTTCAATGCACCCCTCCCCAGTCACTTACAGCTAAATAACTGGTGCTTCAATTTCCTTACCTGTAAAATGGGAATAAAAATACTTATTTATCAGGTTGTTAAGGGAATAATCATGTAAAGATGCCTAGAATACAACCGATTGTGGCACAGGCCTATAATCCAAGTCCTTTGGGAGACTGACGCAGGATATGTCAAACAAACAAGGCTGGGGATACTTGGAATAGCATCTGGTACTTGCTAAAAGCTCAGTAAGTATTTCATATCCATCCCCCATTTTCCAGATAGGAAAACTTCCACATAAAAGAGTTAGTCAACTTGCCCAAGAGCTACGCAATGACAGAGGTCAGATAATGTTCTGACTCCAAAGTCTATACATGAATTCCCAGGTCTCTTCATCCCCTTCCACCTTTGTATGTCTGTGAGACTTGGAGTACGAAATAAATTCTACCTATTAGCTGTGTAACTCTGGGAAGTAAGCACTCCAGGCTTGTTTCTTTAAATAAAAATAGCAAGTCAAGCCTGTAATCCCAGTATGCTAGGAGGCTGAGGCAGGAGGACTGTAAATTCAAGCCTAATCCGGGTAACTGAGTGACTAAGCAAGACGCTGTCTCAAAATTAAAAGGGTCTGAGGATGTAGCTCAGCTAGAAAACCCTGAGTTTAATCCCCAGTGGCACAAATAAAAAAACAAACTCTACAAATCAAAACAGTATTTATCCTTGTAAGATTCAAAGTAATAATGTGCATACATGTTTACTTCAGTGCCTAGGAGGAAGGGCTCAGTAAGTGTTAGTTGTTATGATTATTAACCCTTTTCTCTTCCTACTCATACCTTATTCTCCGAAACTTCCTTCTGCTCTTGCTGTTCAGCAGGTCACCAATGACTTCGCTACTGCTAGATTCAGTAGACAAACTCAGTCCCAATCTTGTCTTATTTCCCCAAGGCATCAACACTTCTGGGAAACACAGCATTCCTTAGTTTTCATGCTATTCTTTTTTTTTTTTTCAATCGGTACCGGGGATCAAACTCACGAATGCCTGCTTGCAAAGCAGGTGCATATGCTGCTGAGCTAAGTCCCCAGCCCTTCACGCTATTCTTTCTCCTGGTTTGTCATACTGTTCACCTCCTCAGTTTCTTGAATATTCTTCCTATGCTCCTCCTTTTATCTCTCTAGGCAAAGATTTCTCAGTTTCCACACAATTGATATATGGGGTTGGATGATTCTTTATTGTAGGATTGTCATGTGCATCAATGAATATTCCTCATCTCCACCCTAAAGCTGCAACAAGCCAAAAATGTCTCAACATCTTCAAATGATCAGTGGAACCTCCAGCTGAAACCACTCTGATTCACTTTTATGGACATGGTTAGCTGCTCTCTTAACATCAAATTCCTCTTAAAGCTGATGACCCCTACCTGTAACCTGCACACCAACCTCTTCTGTGAACTACAGACCCACATTTCAAGCTGCTGCCTGGATATTACCTCTTACTGTATTGCCCCAAAGTAAGACTGACTCATATTAATTTTTGCTCCAACAGACACTGTAGTGCTTATTTTCAGGGGATGTCTTTTTTTCATGTACAGTAATCTACATCTATTCATGTACAACAATCCACATTTATTCAAATACAAAGGCCAAAGTTGGGTGTAGTGGTGCAGGACTGCAATCCTAGCATTCAGGAGGCTAAGACAGGAGGATCGCTCCAAGTTTGAGACCAGCCTGGGCTACAAAGTAAGTTCAAGGCCAGACTGAACTGTATAGTGAAACCTTGTCTCAACAAAAAAGAATGCTGGTTCATACAAAAATAATAAAAAATTGTAGTCACCAAAATTCAGAAAACATTTATCTCACACAAGGGCTTCATGTATGTCCCTTAGAACATACAACATATTGAATTATGAATAACCATATTAGACACAGTCACATACACTTATTATCAAGTATGCACATTATTTATGTGTTGTGTCTGTGCTCTGATTGGTCACTTAGCAATGCCTTTTTTTTTTTTTAAAGGTACCAGGAATTGAACTCAGGGCCTTGTGCTTGTCAGGCAGTTCCTGCACCACTGAGCTAAATCCCTGGGCCACTTAGCAACAAGTCTTGAGTTCATCTGCTTACAAAGGCATTTACCGCTTGGGTATTTACAAATACTTAATTATAATTTATAGTATCATTTATTTTGTGTTAATATTAATATTTATTCACATTTAATTATATATCGATATTTTATAATTCAATATGTCCATCATGTTTTACAATGCACATATGTCTGGCTGATGATCTTAACCCTGGCTTATTTACAAAAACATGCATAAATGGTTCTCAGGTACGTCACACCCCACTTGTCCTAAACTGCATCCTTTTCCATCTCTCCTCCCCTTCCTTTGCTATCTTACATGAGGCCCACAGGCTCCAGAGAGAGAAATCCTGAACTCGGCCTCTCGATTCCACATTTGTTAACCATTAACATCTGTCAGTTCTGGCCTTTAAATATGTTTTTATTGAATCTACTTCTCTCCATCCCTACGGCATTACCTTTGCCCAATGCTGTCATCGTCTCAACAGCTTCCCAATTGCTCTCCATGCTGCCAGTTTCACTCCCCTCAAGTCATGGGCAAAACCTGCAAGACCATGTCATCTTTCTATTCCCAAATGAGTGTCATAGAGTATACCCTCAGGAAGTCTTGCTAACTAAATTAAGATTTGATAAATGAACTAACACAAGCAATGTTATTTATTTCCCATTTTTATATATGAAAGTGGCTGGCTGCTACTCCCACCCCAGGGCTCAGAGTCCAGGGGAGGAGGGAAGGAAAGGCGCAGGCACACACAGAAGAATCTCTCTTCACAAAAACAAACCTGAAGTTGCTAGCACTTCTCCACCACTACCACCCCCCCCCGCCACTGTCATAATTCCAAGTTTTATCCAATTTAACTCTTTTTTTTTTTTTTTACGAAGCAAAGACAGCATTCTTTGGCCTTTACATCATGAATAATGTATTCTTTTCTTTCCATTCAAGGCCTAGCAAACTCCTATCCAACCAATACTTAAAGTATAACTTTCATCCCAGAATACCCAAAGATTTCGAATCCACACTTTTTATAACAGTTTATACATACGTCTCATTGTTTTTCATCATATTACTGCTATTTATGTCGTTGTAAGGCCCTTTAAAAATCTACTATATACCAGATACAGTCTTAGAAGTGCTGTTCTAGACAGGAACAACATATACTTGAACACAGTGGTTAAGGCAGAGACTCTCGAATCCAACTGCTGAGGTGTGAATTCAGGCACCAATATTTAGCAGTCGTGTTAATTCTGAACAAACTAACCCATTTTATGCCCTAGTTTCCTGAAGGACAATAAACTGGATACGTTGCACATCTGTAATCCTAGCACCTGGGAGGCTGAGGCAAGAAGATGCACAGTTTAAGAAGTCTGGACTACACAGTGAGACTCTGTCTCAAAAGCAAAAGGACAAGGACAAAAAACAGTAACCACCTTGTGGCATTACTTGAATAGTAAATCGTTCATCATCTTGAAATGCTTAGAATTGTGCCTGGCAATGACTAGCAAGTGCTCAACAGGTGTTAGGCACTCTCCTAAATGTCTTTGTCTCCTCCCAGGCCCGACCAACATTAAGGGGTACAACTAAATTGCTACAGTGCCCACCATAATCACTAACCAAGTATCGGTCTACAGGAAGAGAAGTACATGTAAACAAATATTCATATGAAGGATTCTAAATGTCGTAACACCCTTTTCCACCCTTGCGGCTAGAGGGAAAGGAAACGGCTTTTTATTTCCCTTGTCTGTGATCCCAGCGCATCTTATGCTATCAACTCATACTCAACTGCAGCCTGGTCTGAACCTCAGCCCTGTCTTCCTGCATCACCACGTCAAACACAGACGACCGGTCGCCTCCCAACCTGCAACCCTCTCCTTTCTTTTTCTTACAATTGGAGCGCCAGCCATTTTTTTCTTATTACTCAAATAGTTTCCATAGATGGGGTCATTGCCCCTACTTTACAGACGAAGAAACTGACTCTTAGAAGCGCGTCGGGCTCGAACCAAGCTCTGGAGTTGGGTCTATGAACACTAGCAGAGGGTAGGAAACCATGAAGGCAGAGACTTCACGCGCTTGCGAACCCCAACACTCCCATCTTCCTCTTCCAGTCCTGAGCCATTCTGGACTCCTGGACAACTCGTGGGGCCCAAGCTACACTTGGACGCATGAAGCTTCAGACTTCGGTGGCCCGCCGCGTCTTTACACGACCGGAGTACCTGAGGTGGCCGTTGCCATCTGCCGTCTCCTCAGAGGCGCGGAGGCACCCGCGTCCATTCCACTCCCTCCTCCGGGCCCGCTTCTCAAATTCAAATTGTCGGGGGACCGTCCCCTTCCACCGCTCCACCAATCACGACTACGTGCACCGGAAGCCCTTGTTTGGAAATGGCTTCTAATCCCGCCTGCTAGAGCTTCCTTCCGGATCCGGCAAGGATGTTTTTTTTTTTCCCTTGCAGAGGACGCATGCGTACGCACGTTGATTGCACAGCCGTTAACGTAGGGCCTGCGCCTAAAGAAAAACCCGGAAGTCCGAGGCACTGGCTTCCACCCCCATCGTGGGAATTGCTGATTCGAGTGCTCCGGGTTCTGTACATCTTAAGGCTTTCACGTTTCAAGTTTTAGTCTGATTTGCGTAAGTGTGAACATTTCCCCTCATTTTTCTTCCGTGTCAGTCACGAGTCTTGCTAAGAATCAAGCAGTGCTCGGAGGCACTCGATCAATTCATACAGAAGTTTTCCTGCGATGAATATAGTTTTCGCTGCTTTAGTGGCAGAGAAGTGATTATATGCATAAAGAAGATGCTACCTGATAACGAGATTATTGTGCAATACTGGAAGTGATCTTCACTCTCTGCAGATTCTTGCCTCATAAACTGTTGCGCTTGACTGTGGGGCCGGGCTCGCTTTGGAACTGCTGGGCGAGTCAGCTGTGCTGTGACGCACGTCAGTTCCATAGATCTGGGCCACAGCGGCGAGGTTGGGAACAGTCCGTTGCACTCACCTCTTGCTGAGGAAAGGACCACTGTATGGTTCCTTGTGTCTCACATCCGAGGAAACCAGCTTTTGGTTCCTTACTTTGTAACTTAGAAGTCAGCACCTCGGAGTGAGCGTTAAAGACACTGTTTTAACTGTTGCTTAGCCTCCCCCATACTCTGTCCTTCGGGGTTCAGCTGCCTTCGAAATAGTTAAGATCCTAGTTTAAACCTGGTTTAAATACTGTTTTTGTTCCATCTGCCAGAGGGCAAAATTACAATTTAAAAATCTTGTTTGGCTTTGTTTGAGATTCTAGACTCGAGAAACACTTCACTCCATGAAGCAGAATGAGTGTTCCAGTTAGCTCAACGTAAGAGGTTGAGGTGGAAAAAAAAAAAAAAAAAAAAAAACAAACGAGGTGGGTTTTATGCAGAGGAAAGGCCGAAAAAAGCAGAGACAGAAGAGTGAATTGGTCATTGCCAAGTTAATGTCCTTGCTCTGCAAGCTGGTCACCGGGGAGATGGAAAAACAGAAAAACAATTGGTTGGTTAACGTCAAGTGACTTTAGGTTACCTTTATGTGGCTGGGGATTTAACTCAGCGGCATAAGCACCTGCGTTGCAAGTGTGAGGTTGCAAGTTTGATCCCCGTTACCAAAAAAAAAAAGGGTTACCTTTATGTAATGAAATTCATTATCATGCCAGTTGAAACTGGTCAGATTGGGAAATTTGGTTGTTATTTCTCTTGATTTCTTGGGAGGTCAGTGTGTTTGGTGGGATAGACCTTTAAAAGAAATATCTGTTTTCAAGTTTTAGTCTGAGCTGTTTGGGCTCACAGCAGAAATTTAGTCCAAAACAAAGACCTCCTATGCCTTTTATTAACACAAGAAATCTATTTATGAACATGTGTATCTCTTGCTGGTTCCATTTTTCTGGTAGAACTTGATACAGCAGGTAATCTCTTTTACTGAACTTCATTTTCACTGAACAAGTGAAAGATATTACTTCCTCCATTTCACCTTCCATGCCTCCTCTCCCCTATGCAAACCAATCTATAACTTTGTGATGTTACTTTTTTTCCCTTAAAAGTTTCCTAACCCACGCTGGGCATGGTGGCTCACGCCTGTAATCCCAGCATCAGGAGGCTGAGGCAGGAGGATCATTGCGAGTTCAAGACCAGCCGGGGCTACAAAATGATCACAAGGCCAGCCTGAACTGCATAGCGAGACCCTGTCTCAAAAAGACCAAAAAAAAAAAAAAAAAAAAAAAGTTCCCTAACCCAACTCCTTGTGTAAATCTGTGCTCACTTTGGCAGCACGTATATTAAATCATCTTCTTTAATCTCTTCTGAAACTTTGTCCCATCAATTATACCTTCTTTCCAAAGTCAAGCTTCTGCACTGGGGTTGGTGGTGCATACCTGTAATACCAGCACTGTGGAGGCTTGAGGCAGGAGAATTGCCATGAATTCAGGGCCAGCCTGAGCTACATACTGTCTCAAAACAAAACAAAAAAAACTTCCATTTTCTCCCTCTTTACCATATTTCTGACCTGTCAAAAAAACAAAAAAAATCTCTTTCCATACATCCTGTTACTTACAAGCCTATTTTATAGCATTCAAAAGCCAAACTTCTTGAAATAGCAACTCTTTCTGTGTGTTTTTCCTCATTTTGTCTGTTCCCTAGCAAGCCAGGCAGTCTGGCTTCAGCTTCTCCCAATCCACTGAAACTTTATGGCAGGGGTGGGGGGTGGAGGTGGTTTAGGATCTTGCTATATGGATCAGACTGGCTTTGAACTCACTATAGAACTCACGCTGGCCTCTACCTCACTAGAATCCATCTACCTCAGCCGTCCAAGTGCTTGGGTTGTAGCCATACCTTACCTGGCTTCACTGAAGCTTTCCTTGTCAAAATAATTAGTAACCTAATTGCCAAAAATGGAGGAAACTGAAATTTGGGTTTGTTTGTTTCTTTGTTTTATTTTTCAAGACAGGATCTCACTATGTAGTTCAGGCTGATCTTGAATTCACTATGTAACCGAGGATGGCCTCAGACTCAAAGTGATCTTCCTTCCTCAACCTCCTGAATTATGGGAATTACAGGCATGTGGCACCATTCCTGGCTCAGGAAACTTGAAATTTGTGCTTTTTCTTGGCTTATCAGGGGCATTAATTACTCCATCAAGTTTGTCTTCCCACTTTATTCTCTTTATTTTCCAAAGCATTCCATTCTCTAGTTCTATAACTGATTCCTTTTCTGTACCAAGCATCAAATTCTAGTGTCCCTCAATGTCTTGACTTTCACTTCCTTCTCATTTTATATAGTACCTACTCATAGTTTTCCTGAGTCACTTCCACATCCATCACTTGAAGTTCATTATTTATATGCCAGTGACTCCTGAATCTAAGCTTTATATCAAACCTCTGTCAAAGCTTTATTTCCAGTGAGCCAGCACAGAAAGACAAATACTGTAGGATCTTACTTCCATGTGGAATCTAAAAGAGAGAAACATGTGTCAGTGGAGAGCAGAGAGTGGTCCCTAGAGCCTGGAGAAGAGTGGATAAGAAAGGGATGATACTCATCAGAGGATGCAGAGTTTCATTTAGACAAGAAGAATAAGCTTTAGTGATTCTAGTGACAGAATAGTGAATATAATAAGTAATAATGTATGTTTCAAAATGACTAAGAGTAGATTTTACATTTTTCACCACACCCCCCCAAAAAATATGTTTGATAGCTCTGTCAATCTGATGTAACCATTCTATGTTGTAAACATATACCAAAACATTACATTGTGTCCTATAAATGTATACAATTAGTATGGTCAACTAAAAAATAAATTTTTATATAGTTTTTTTGAGACAGGGTCTGACTATGTAGTCCAGGCTGGCCTTGAACCTTGAACTCACTTTGTAGCCCAAGCTGGCCTCAAACTTGAGGCAGTCCCCCTACTTTAGCCTCCTGAGTGTTGGGATTACAGGCATGTGCCACCACACCCAGCTAAAAATAAAATTTTTAAAAGAGGCTTTATTCTTAAGTATCCTGCTGGCTGAATCTCAACCAGAGGTGAATTGTATACATTAGAACTCAACAGGTCTGAGAGCTAATTTTTCCTTTTGTATTCCCCATTTCAGAGCAGAATACCCTTCTCTTTCAGTTGCCGACCTATAAATAATGTAGTTGTAGACAACCCTCCTTCAATAATCCTCATTCATTTACCACATTCTTAGGTTATATACTTAAAGCTTTTTTAAATAAAGGAAACTTTTCTTCCAATAAAGGTTTTTACAAAAGCCTAATATGTAAAATAACAAAAGTCAGGATCTCTCCAGTTGGTCTTCTGCTGTGGCTGCTCTTAGGTGCTGCTGCCTTCAAAAGAAAACCATTGGTTTAAAGGCTGTACTAGGGTTCATCCGTCAGGCATCTGTCAACTTCAGCAATAGAGAGGAATGAAGCATGAAAACATACTACATGATGAAGCCACACACAAATGCCACATTATGGTATTATCCCATCTATATATAACAGCAAAACAGGCAAATCATACAGATAGATGTGGGGCCAGGAGAACAGAGAGTGACTGCTAATGGGCTCCAGGTTTCTGGAGATGATGAAGCTATTCTAGAATTAGAAAGTGGTAGTGGTTATATAAGCTTGTGAAGACACTAAAAAGCACTTATTTGCACACTTTCAAGGGGTAAATTTTGTGTTGTATGATTTATACCTCATTAAAAAATAATTGTAATGGCATAATCTGTTCAATGGAATTATTTGAAAGAGAGATCAAAACAGGCTACTCAAGTGTTTATTTCTGATTTTTTTTTTTTTTTTTTTTTTTTTTTTTTGGTACTGGGAATCAAACTCACAGTCTTGCACCTGCCAGGCAGGCACTTAGGCTGCTGAGCTAAATCCCCAGCACTTTTTCTTTGTTTGTTTTGTTGTCCTTTTGAGACAGGATTTCACTATGCAGGTCAAGCTAGCCTCGAGCTCACTTTGTAGCCCTAGGTGGTCTGGAATTTGCTGTAGTCCTCCTGAGTGAGACCCCCGAGTGCTGGGATTACAGGCATGCACCTCCATGCCCAGCTTTGATTTCTATGATGTTAATATTTATAAAATTATATGAATGTAATTTTTTTTGTCTAACTAGAAGTGTGACTGACATTTTCTGTGACATGAATAAATCTGGGAATAATAAGTAACTTTCTACCACATCATGGTTTATGTCTGTGGCCCCCAGGCCTCATGAGTTTGCGGTGTGCATTTGTGATTGGTTCATTGTCTAGTGCTTAGATTGATGGTGGTCAGTGCTACATCCACATAGTGGTGGAGCCAGGATGTAATGTAATGGCAGGAAGGTATGTCTTGCTCTTTTGCCAGTGTAGGCCTTGCTGTTTGTAGCTGCCATGAACTGTGGCCAGCCATGCCAGCCTGCTTTGGAGCCAACTGAGTATGGACTGAAAACTCCAAAAACTGTAAGAAATAAACCTTTCCTTTTCCAACTTTGGGCTTCAGGTATTTTGTTTCAGCAGTGAGTAAAAAGTAACTAAGACATACCACTACCAACAAAAACTTAGTATTCTAGGTTTAAGAACTTAGAGACAATTTCCAAACCAATTTTGTATCTTTGCCCAGTCTATCCAGTTGTTCCCTCGAGTCCCCTGAAATCTAAGGGATCCTTTATGTCAACCCACAATGAAAGTCTCCTTACTTTGGAATTGCCTTTTTTAGAGCATGGTGTTGACAGAGTTTACTCTGTTGGGTAAGTGGCAGCTGGCTGAGAAATGATCTCAGTTCTGAGAGCTAAGCAAGGAAAATGACCCTTAAGGCTAAAGGTGAGAGAGACTAGGCTTGGGTAATAGGACAGAGTCCTCCAGCACAAACTTAGGCAAAACCTTAGGAGCTGGGGCTGGGGATTTAGCTCAGTGACAGAAGTGCCTGCCTTGTAAGCACTGGGTCATGAGTTCGATCCCTGGTACCCATTAAAAAAAAAAATTTAGGAGTTATGTGGGTTCTAGGAAAGAGCCAAGGATAAGAATCCAGGCCCAGCCTTTTCACTACCACAGAGACCCCAGTGAACCATTTCCTGGGTCAACAGAATTAGGTGATATCCTTCTAGCAGAGAAGACTTTCCCAAGGGAAGGACCAGGAAAGAAGGAAGCTGGATAGTGGGATAGCTGGGAGTTTGGCAGGAAACTGCCACTAGGCCTTACCTTAAACTCAGGACTTTTGCTTAGGTAAACACTTAGAAAATATCCTTGAAAAAAAAAGTCTTATCTCCTGGGAATTAAACCTAGGGCCTTTGCACTGAACCACAATTTCCAGCCTTTTTATTGTATTGTATTGTATTGTATTGTATTGTATTGTATTTTTTTTTTCCTTTTTATCGGTACCAGGGATCGAACTCACAACTGCCTGCTTGCAAGGCAGGCACTTATGCCGCTGAGCTAAATCTCCAGCCCCTTTTTTATTTTATTTTGAGACCATCTTGCTAAATTGACCAATTTTAGCTCAAACTTGTGACCCTCCTGCCTTCAGCATTCAGTGTGGGGAATTACAGGTGTATACATACCACCATGCCTGACCATAATTTTGATTATGTAGAAAAGCCAGGATTGTTACACCTCTCTTACTCATGTTCTCACTTTTCCCAGATTTATATCAGCAGATAGCCAGAAATTGGGTTTGTCCGTCCTTCCAGAATTAGGAGTCAAATCAGAGCTGCATACCCCACATACAAAGCAGTGTTAGCAATGTCCTTTTATTAAGCCATTTGGGTGGGGTTTAGTGGTCGAGTTTTCATGACCCTGCCTTGGAGGAGATAGGCTTAGCAGCTGCTGCAGTCACTGGGGTAACTGTCCCAGTGCAGGCCAATGGCATCGATGAAGGACCCAGATCGGCCACTGATGAATCGGAGTACAGTGTTGGGGTACAAAGGGAGGGCATTGAAACTTGTGCCTGTGTCCTTCCCAAAAGACAGGTAACGACCCTTGTCTGTCACAAAGACCAGCTTCCTCAGGTAGGAACTGTATTTGCCAGACACCTGGATCACTGACTCCCCAGAGTGCAAAAAGATCTCCTCAAGGTCTCCAGACTTGCCACCCACGAAGTCACTCCACACTTTTCCATAACGCACCTGTAGACTGGATATGAGCAAAGAGGGAAGGAAGGAAGATATTGAACAGGGCTAGAATTTGTGACCTCTTGGCCTACAAACTCTCCCCCACTATTCTTACAGAATGTGAAGACCAGTTGAGCCCCAGAAAATCATACAGAGAACTTGAACTCACTTTGCCAACAAACAACCTCATGAAGGGAAAAGAAGTAGCCTAGAGTCACCCAGACCATAATGGTCAGAACTTGAATTTGGAGTCCAGGATTGTACTTTTCCCCAACTCCCACTTGAAAGAAGCAAAAGAATTTTCAAACATCTGAAAGTCTCCCACATCGGGCATAGATGAGACATGCCTATGTTGTCTTAAGATGCAGAACCCAGATCAGGAGGAAATACATTTTGATTCTGCATATGGTAGAATTTTCAACTGTCTGAACTGAATGGGAATATTTCAGGAGAGGTATTAAATAAAGATGGAAGATGCCTGACAGGAGTACTACAAAAGAGACTTAAGCCTTTTCCGGTTAAGATCCTAGAAGGTCCCCAAACCACAGAAACTCAAAAGACTCTTACCCTACAATATAATATTTGTTGACTCTAATACGGAGGGCAGTGATAGGGCCTTCCAGCTGGTAGCCAGAATGGGAGAATCGCTTTCCTCCACTACCTCCATACTCTCCATTGTAAGAAGAGGCCTTCACCTGAGCTGGAAGACAAAGAGGAGGGAGAAAATCCACAGGAGCTCAGTCGCTCCCCGCCACCCCCGACTTCCCACAACTCACTTCCCACCACCCAAGTGTGCCTCCTTGAAGCCTGGGCCAGCAGCAGTGCAGGGGTTCCTTCCCATATTCCCATTACCAGACTCTTGGCTTCTTACTCACAGGCCTTGGCAGAGGTGGAGGCACAAAGAAGGACTAGGAGAACAGTGATCAACATTCTGAGGCTAGAATTAAAAGAAGAGAAAATTAAGGCTGGCTCTTTTCCCTCTGGACTTCACTTACCCAGGCCTCCTAGCCTCTGGTTTAGACTTAAGCTTTTACTCCTTCAACTCATACCCACTAGACTCAGTCAAGAGTTTACAGAAGACTCCATCTTAACTTCTGTTCCTTTCAGATACCATATTCTGTGTTCCTAATTCATCTGGCTCTCCCTGATCTGGCTGTAGCCAATTCTTCCCTTCCAAATAAAAAGATCAATCCTGGGGCTGGGGATTTAGCTTAGTGGCATAAGCGCCTGTCTTGCAAGCAGGCAGTTGCGAGTTCGATCCCCGGTACCGATAAAAAGGAAAAAGACCAAAAAAAAGACCAATCCTAACCATTCCATCCTGGCACAAGTGGGAACAGAGTTTTCTAAGGGGAAGTGGAGGATATCACCAAGGCATAGAGGAAGCAGATTAGCTTGATTTATGGGGCATCAGGACATGATTAAACCCCTAACTTCACCCTGGTCTCAGAAAGAAAGGAGAGTGTTAGTGATGCCCATGTGTCACATTGGCAATGAAAGTAGAATTAGAAAAGACTAGTGACATCAGTGTCCAAGCAATTATGATGAGCTGAGATGGACCAAGAAGTTGCAGGAGGAGTTGGGATGGGGTCAAGTTACTAGACTCCAGATGCCTGGTCTACTAGTTCTAATACAACCCTGGCCATTTCCATTTCCCTGAGAGTCCCATTGTTGTAGGCAGCTGAGTTAGAAATATCGTAGGCACTCAGACCCTAAAAACAGCCAATGCAAAAGACCAGATATAACCTTGAAGGAGACAGGCACCTCCACTGTGGGCCAAATCTCAAGAAAAAAGACAAAACAAATACAATCATACCTTAAGTATAAACATCAGGGACTCATATTGTAAATAGGTATCGATCACCTTGAGGAAGCCAGAAGAAGCAACTAATCCAACCCCCTACAGGCAAAGGCCCTTGTTATATGATTCGCTTCCCAATTGGATCCCAATTTAATCAATTTTACCTGAGCAATTACATTCAATCTGATTGGTTGACCATAGCTCTGTACTACCTCATGCCCACCTGCCTGGTGAGTTCCCATTTTTCCCCACCTTGGACCTGCCTCACCTTGAGGTTTTGCTATGTAAAAATCCCTGGAAAAGGCAGGATCCTGGCAACCCATTCAGGACTCCTCATGTCTTTCTCTCAGACAGAAAATTTCTTTCTCTCAATAAATATATTCTGCTCTTAACCTCTGTTCCTAAAATTCATTCTTTGATTTTAGAGAAGACAAACTCATACCAGACATCTAGTAGATTGAGTTTTTTCCCCCTATATCACCATGTACCCCATTCCTTCAGCTGAAGCCAGACCACTTTGTGCCTAAGACTAGCTCAGTTATCTTGCTGCGCAATCCAACCATCCTCTTCGCCAGTTTATACCTGAATAGCCCCAACTCAGATCCAGACATCCTCACCAGCCCTTACCTGGCAGTTTCAGATGTGAAATAATCCCTAGAAACTTCCAGGTCTTTTATACAGGTTCAAGTGCTCCCCCCCCTGCCCTTTTTCTTGTGAACCTCACCTCCTGAATAAACACCATCAGCCTCCTAGGATCAGGTGTCAGCAGGTCCGGGACTTCTTATCTTCCTCCTCCCTCAAAGGTTACAGGTGGCAAGGTGGGGTCTACTCTGGACCAAGTGCCAAATATTCCTCAGGAGGGACACATAAACCTGAGAAAACTCACCTACCAAAGGGTGAGAAACTTTAGATGAACAAACTAGCTAGTTACCTCCAGGGTACAATCCAAGGGGCTTGTGAAAGGTTCTCTCTCTCTTAAGACTGTGAACTCTGCCACCTGAAATCTACCATCTGCCAGGATAAACAGTGCACACTCTAGGTATTTGAAATGCAAATTCTTCAGAGAGGGAACATACTCCCTACACACCCTACTGAGCAGTGCCTACTATGCCTGACAATTTTTTTTCTCTCCCCTGATATTTATGACAAAAATGCAGACATATGATGAGTTTAAAGAATTATGTAGTGAAAACCCACATGACCACCATATAAAGTAAACCATCATTAATACTTTGCTGTATCTTCTCCCATTATGCACGCAGCTATCCATCCTCAGTCTGCCAGGCCCTTTTCAGATGTGTCTTCTCTGAGAAGGGTGACTTGAGAAGCAGTCCAGTGGAGAAGTGGGAAACTGAGGAAGTAAGGATGGGCGGTGTTGGACTTTGGGCCCATGGGACTCCTGGGGGCCATAGTGGTAGCCCTCTTAGGACAATTGCTCCTTTTTTTGAGTCTGAAACCTGCACTGCGCTATTATAGACTTCTGCAGTTTTTCAGCCCTGCTCTTCAAGGACTGATTCCTCTCGACGTAAAATTCTCAGAAGTGACCCTGAGTCCTAATGCCTGACCTTTTAGCACTGGCTTTCCGAGCGCTCAGTTCAGCAGGGTGTTCCTGGGTAAGAGAAGGATGGAGGCCAGGGAAGGGCTGGAGTGAGCAATCAGTTCTAAATGACTGCTAGCCAGGCACTGAGCACTCCACCCTTGCCCTTACAGGCTTACCATATGGGGCTGAGGTTTAATCCCAGAAAGTAAAGCAAGCCCTGCCCTGACTGCTGAGGTTCCGGGAGTGGAACCAGACAGGCACCAGTGATGCCCTCGAGGCACCTTTCTTCCCTGCTCTCCTTCCAAGTTCAAGATAAGCATACCCTGGAGATGTAAACTTTATCTGATTCTGATGGATTTTATTTGTATGTCCCTTACTTTCTCTATTTCCCTTGTCTTCTTCATTCTTTGTTTGTTTGTATGTTTTTGGAGGGATGGTGTCACTATGTAGCCCTGGCTGGCCTCAAACTTGTGGCAGTCCTCCTGCCTCAGCCTCCCAAGTGCTGGGATTAGAGGCATGTGCTACCATGCCCAGCTTCTTCTTCATTCTTGCCTGATTGTCTTTCCTTTGTGTCTTGGTCCTCCTGCCCTAAGGTTTATTTTTATATTTTTTCTCCAGCTGTTTTTCGTTCTGTTTCTCTCCGTGTTTCTGCATCTCTCCCATCTCTCCTTCCTCACTCTCATACACTGTGTTTCTGCATTTCCTTACTAGGGTGTGTCACACAGTCTGGCACCAAACTCAGAAAGTCCAGGAGGCATCTTGGAGGCATCCAAGGTATCTTGGGATGACATATCAGGGACTCTCAGGGTACAGGTACCACCCGCAGGCCACAGCTTCATACCCAGCCTGTGTGGGACAAGGCCCCAGTCTCTTTAAGTGCAAGAGAGGTTCCTGCCATGGAAGAGCTCTCAGAGCCCCCCTCTTCTGTCCATCCCATGGACAAGGAAGGCACCTTCTTACCCCTACAAGTACCTCTAATGTTTCCTCTGAGAGAGTAATTGAGAAGCCAGAAGAAAGAGGGAGAAGGCAATGGACATCAGGCTTCCACCTCATCAGCTCCTGTTGATCTGCTTTCTGTTATGCCACATGTGAGGCAGGGCCTCCTGCCCCATAAAATCAAGATGAACTTGACTTTAACCTCATTGCATCCCGTCCTAAAGATGATGAAGGACTGAGGTCCTTCCAAAGCCCCTGCTGCCTCAGGGCAATGACAACTGATATTTACTCACTGTCTCTGCCCTCTTCATAAAAAGCCTCACTAGGGGCTGGGAGTTTAGCTCAGCAGCATAAGCGCCTTCCTTGCAAGTGTGCAGTCGTGAGTTCAATCCCTGGTACCGATAAAAACGAAAAAGACAAAAAAAAGAATAAAAAGCCTCAACATATGTGGATCTCTATGTTAGAGACCCCACTCAGGCTGGAGAGAGCCAGCAGCCTGCCTCTCCCACAGGCAGAAACCAGTCTAGTTGATAAATGAGTTCATGGGTAAGCAAGAGGCAGTGGGGACTGGGACATAAATGAAGCCCAGTGAGAATGTGAAGGGAGGGGGAGGCTGCTCTTGTAGCTGGGAGGTCTCTCTGCTCAGGTAACATTTAGGGAGAGCTCAAACTAATGTAATGAAGTAGAGGAAACAAATTCCAAAGCCCTGAGCAAGGAATGTGTCATGAACTTAGAAATAGCAAGGAGGGCAGCACAGCTGATGGGGAATAAGAGAAGCCAACAGGAGTTGCAGTCTGAGAGCAGCCAGGAACATACAATACAGGGCCTGAAAGAATTTGACCATTATTCTGAGGAAGCAGAAGTCAGAAAGTTTGAATAGGGGAGGACATGATCATATTTGCATGTTAGAAGATCACAGTCTGGATTTTGATAAGGTGGAGAATCGACTGGGAAAGGGGGCAGGTTGGGAAGGGAAGGCCAAGGCAGCAGTGGGGTGAATCTTCTTCCATTTCACTGGTTCTCTCTCCCTTCCTCTTGAGTGGCCCTATTCCTACCCTAAGGTAAAGCAGGTTTGCCTTCCCAAAGTCTTGGTACCAATTTAAACCCCCTACTGAGTATTTGCCTCTTTATTCTGTCAAAAGTTGCAACCACTATAGTTTAAAGATCTTAACTGGCTTTTATTTACAATTCTAGAATTAGGCAGCATATCATTCCATAAAACAGGATGAGAATTCCAATGAGCTGAAGCAAGGAGATTGTTTTTTAAAGATAGGGAAAGGTAAGCAGAATCAAAAAAAAAAAAAAAAAAAGAGTTGGTCATTTATCACCGGAAGGGGTCTGAAGAGGTCCCCAAAGAGAAGATAAAGATTTCAACTCATTCCCATTGTGGAAAGGTAGTAGATTCCCTGACGACTGTCACAGAAAAAGAATTTCAGGAGATGCATCAGTGTGAGACACAGTATGAAACAGGTTTAATTAGGCAAAGTTGGATAGTAAGACGGTAAAATGGAACCAAGATTCCAGCAAAAGTAGCTAAAGAGGCCTCTCTCTCTGGTGCAGGGGTTCAGACTGGCCCACTCACAAAAGCACAAAGGCAGCTTTTAAGGATTAGTTGAGATGGGCTGGGGATTTAGCTCAGTGGCATAAGTACCTGCCTTGCAAGCAAGTAAGTGAGTGGATCCCCGGTACCGATAAAAAAGAAAAAGACAAAAAAAAAAAAA